TTATTTTATTAATGGAGGAAACATTCCCTCTTGTTATAAAGAGTTTTTTGCCTGGGATTGTAAAATTCCAGTGAGTTGGTGAAATCTTTCTCCTCCTCATCTCCCTCCCTCCCTCCTCCTCCTCTTTTTTTTCCCTCCTCCTCCCTCTCTCCCCTCCATCTCTTCCTTCTCCTTCTCCTTCTCCTTCTGCTTCCTCTCCTTCTCCTTCTTTTTTGATAACTCACAGGACTCTGCAGCCCCCAGAAAGTTATGCCCCTAGAATTCAGTGAAGAGGTTTTTACATGCCACTGCTTGTTATGGAAAATAATAAAAGATGAAACTAGTCATCTCTGGATATCTACTTTTAATAATCAACTTTACTGAAGTATGACTTATGTACAAAACCCTACATTCCATTTAAAGAATACAACCTAATGACCTGGGCAGTTGTATACATCTGCAAAACCACCACCACCACAGGACACAGAAGAACATTTCCATCTCCTCCGAAAGATTCTTAATACTGCCCTTTTGCAAACTGTCCCTGCTGCCAGGCAACCACTGCTCTGTTCTCTATAAATGAGTTAATTGTCCCCCCAAATGGATATTCAATCAGAACACAGCACTATTTCTTTAAGAGTATTTCCTACTGCAATCCTTGGCATTTTGTCAAAAATTAATTGACCATTTCTATCTGGATCTGTTCCTAGATTCTCTTTTGTTGTATCCATCTGCATGTCTATCCAATACCACGCTTTTTTTTTTTTTAAGATTTTTAAAAATTTATTCACAAGACACAGAGAGAGAGAGAGAGAGAGAGAGAGAGAGAGAGAGAGAGAGAGAGGCAGAGACACAGGCAGAGGGAGAAACAGGCTTCACTAGGAAGCCTGATGCGGGCCTTGATCCTGGGTCTCTAGGATCACGCCTTGGGCTGAAGGCGGCGCTAAACCGCTGAGCCCCCTGGGCTGCCCCAACATGCCTGCTTTTTTTTTTTTTTTTTTTTTTTTTTAAGATTTATTTATTTATTCATGACTGACAGAGAGAGAGGCAGAGACACAGGCAGAGAAGCAGGCCCCATGCCGGGAGCCCGACTTAGGACTCGATCCGGAGACTCCAGGATTGCGCCCTGGGTCAAAGGCAGGCGCTAAACCCCTGAGCTACCCAGGGATCCCCCATGCTGTCTTAATACTGCTATTTCTCAGTAAGTTTTGAAATCAGATGATATAAATCCCTCAGCTTTGTTGTTCTTAAAAATTGCTTTGACTCATAACTTTTTGCTCATTTATGTTTTATGCCATAACATGCAATTTGCTCCTAGTAAGGGTAATTTGTATGTCCCCAAACACTACCATAAATACACTACATAAAATAATTTGAGAGAAAATGGAATTTTTGTTGTAATTATTTGATAAACTAATTGGTGATACGTGGATATTAATAATCAAGGACACCACAGATGAAAAGTGGTATTTGAATGTGAGCTTTCATGGCAGTGGGTGATTTACTTAACCTCCGTAAGCCCAATTTCTTCACTCATACAATGGCAGCTCCCTCCAGGGGTTATCGTGGGGCTCACGTGAGATAATGTTAATGAGCTCCTACATCACCGTTGGCACACAGCAAGCATTCAATTGTTAGCTATTAATATTATTACAGTGGTTTGGTGCATAACATCTTGGACATGCAAGAACTTTTATAAACAAGATCAGATGAGATATTTCACTCATGCATTACATAAAAGATAATCAGGGAAGGCTAATGATCAGATGTGAATCTTTTTTACATTGATTTTGATAGATTTCATCTTAGAATGAATTTTTAATTAAAGTAATTACCAAAAAATTATACCATATTATTTTTACATTTAAATACCAAACTAAAATTTTAGATCTGTAATGACATTAAGAGATTATCTACTATTTCCCCAGCTGTTTACACTTGGAAGCTGCTAGCCCCTCCCTATTTCATTCTTCTCTGACAGATGTTGGCTTCTCTTATCCCTTCTAGAAGTAAAAAGCCTGTGTTATCAACCTAATAGCATTTTATGCAACACAATAAAAAAATTTACAGATGTAATGGTACAACCTATTAAAAATCAGGATTTATTATACCCATTGATATAATAATCCCAGAAGTTAGAATTTCCCTAAAAATAAATTCATCTGACCTAAGGGGTAAGTTTCCTAGAAGCCAAAGCTGGGAGTTAGAAGTGGGCTGTTCTTACCGATGATACTCAGTATTGAAGAATTATCTTTATTTTATGTTTTATCCCTATTTTTTAATGTATTCAAAGAATCTTATTAATACTAAAAATTTAAAATAGAATCAATAGGGCAGCCCCAGTGGCTCAGCAGTTTAGCACCGCCTTCAGTCCGGGGCGTGATCCTGGAGACCCGGGATCGAGTCCCGTCAGGGTCCCTGCATGGAGCCTGCTTCTCCCACTGCCTGTGTCTCTGCCTCTCTTTCTCTGTGTGTGTGTCTCTCATGAATAAATAGATGAAATCTTAAAAAAAAAATCAATAATTACCTAGTTTTTGAATGTTTACTGGTGAATATTTGGAACATAAAGAAAACATGCACATCAAATAAAATTTAATTGCATGCTAATGAAACAACTTTGAAGCTAGCCAAATTATGAAATCTGCCTTATGACATACAGCAGTTAACCTTTGGCAATGTCTGGATGCATTTCCAGTTGTCACAACTGGGGAGAGAAAGCAGGAGGTGCCTCTGGCATCAACTAAGACTAAGAATGCCGCCTCACAACCTACAATGCACAGGATGCTCCTCACAACAAAGAATTACTTGGCTATAGTGTGAGGAATGCTGACATGCAATTCCTTTTCTATATGGAACCCAAAACCTCCTCATTGTTCAAGGGTGCAGACTAAAATAAAAAGAATGGATGAAGACCCTAATACCTTTTTCTTCCTTTTGATTCTTCTTATAAGCTTTGCATATCTTCAAAAAAAAAAAAAAAACCATGCAAACCATGTGAAAGCAAATCTGAATTCTAATGCTTTTTTTCTGGTATGTGGGCCCTGAAGGGTCTGATTTTTGTATCAGGTCTTTTTTTTTTTAATATATTTTTTTAATTTTTATTTATTTATGATAGTCACAGAGAGAGAAAGAGAGGCAGAGACACAGGCAGAGGGAGAAGCAGGCTCCATGCACCAGGAGCCTGACGTGGGATTCGATCCCGGGTCTCCAGGATCGCGCCCTGGGCCAAAGGCAGGCGCCAAACCGCTGCGCCACCCAGGGATCCCTGTATCAGGTCTTAATATGATTCTCACAACAGAGCTGTCTTGGTCTAGAGTTGGTGTCCATCAGGATTCATTTTCTTCAGTGAGTTATTAAATTGAGATTTGAAAACACCTGATAGGCATCTTTTTTTTTTTTTTTTAAGAAGTGTAGGTTCCTTTCTTGATTTTTAATTCCTATTGCTTCTGTTTAAGGCAGCTGTGTCTGAAAACAGAAATCCAGTGACTGCTCAGGAGACAGTGGTCCTTATCAACACACATTAACTCTCCAGTGATGTTTGCCTAATTTTCAGACTGTAATTCGGTAGAGATGAAAGGCTGAACACATATATTATAAAGAGGAAAAAAACCCAATTAGGTAGCAGTTTGCTTTTATATATTTATTTACTTCATTAAGCAGATTTTCTAGCCTATAAAGCCTGCTCCTCTGAGATCCATTGGCAAATACAGCCATGTCATTAAATCCATAATGCCGACTATTAGATGTACCTGAATGTTGACTGCATACTTGGTGATGAACCAAATATGAGTGTTTTTGTGTTTTTATTCCATTTGTTTAACATTAACAAGACCTGTCCTGAAAGGGGGAAAAGTTAGGTACAAATTTAAAGAGGAACTCATGTAGTAGGCATTGAGGAGTTGTATATAGAATGAAAAGCCACTTGCAGCTTCTCAGCCCTGGATACACTCTGGAAACACATTTTCTCTCAGAATCTCATTTCCTCCCAGTCTTTGTAATTATTTGCTAAAATCATTTTTTCTTTTTTCTTACTCCTTGGGTTTTTTCCATTGGAGACCTCTGATGCCTGAAAGAGACCTTTGAAAATGGGATAAACAGTGTCTCCAGGAATGGAGGTTTTGGATTTTTGTCATAATAGATGCCAATGAATTGAAATAAATGAATACATCCATAGAATAAAGACTTGAAATCTCATCACTGTGGTAGGTTGTGGATCAGAAAGCTCCCCAGAGAAGCATATTTAAGGTTTAGAAAAATCAAACCCAACTCATTTCACTGTGAGGCTGTGAATTACAGTGTGCTCTTTGAACTATGACAGTCACCTTTCCTTGAGCATATAAGCGAATCAAAATGAAGCCTGTAGTTAGGAGAAACAGATTTTTAAAAAAAGTTTTTGGATAAACTCTTCCAGATTAGAGAAAATCTTGTTTGCAAACTGAGCTTTTTTTTTTTAAATCATTCTTAAAGCAAACTAAAAAGTACAAGTAAGTGAAAGTCAAAAGCACAATTAGTGAAGGGTTTCTGTGAGTAGGAAACACTAGTAAATACTAAGGAGAGTACAAAGGAAGCAAACAATACAAATTCTGTCCTCAGAGATGGAAGGGATTTCTTTATATGTGGAGTTTGCTCCTCAGCTCCGGTTGAATGCTGAGGTCTGAAACCAAGGGAGTAGTCACATCTCAGCTCCTTATAAATAAGGCCTTGTTGACCCCATGCATAAGTGAAAAGCTTACATAAAATCATGGATGCAACTCATTCCAAAGTAAGAGAAGAGCCACGGACTCTGACTTTCAGATAACCAGGTGGCTCATTTAGCAGTCTGCTAGGATGGATAAGGTCCTATTCTACTGTCACTATCTGTCAGCTGTACCTGTCATTTGGTATCCCTAAACAGGGCCATTTTTTTTAAAGAGAATGTGCGCATATGCACATGCACACATGGGGTGGGAGGGAGGGCAAAGGGAGAGGGAGAATCTTAAGCAGGCTCCATGTCCAGCATAGAGCCTGATGCAAGGCTCCACTTCACCTCCCTGAGATCATGAACTGAGCCAAAATCAAGTCAGACGCTTAACTGAATGAACCACCCAGGCATCCTGGGGGCAATACATTCTGCCAAGACCCTTGCATCACAGACACTGATACTCTGAAACTGAGGCATCTCCTAGTCAGAGATCACAGAATAATTAAAGCTCTCCTCATTCTTAAATCCTATTTGTCATGATTCAGTTCATATGTTAACTTTCCTGAGATGTTTCAATGTTTTTTTTAATCCCCAAACCACCAAACATATTTGATTAAATAACATTGTTAGTCTAGAATGAGTGGATCACATGGGCTGGCTCAAAAAGATTAACCTTGGTGAATATATAAGAAGAAAAGGCCCATTGGTTTGGTTCCCTTCCCATACCACGTCAGTTCTGGTGTCTTTGGGAATAGTCACAGAGAGGCTGGTAGTTGGCAGAAAACTCCGCTGGAGAAAGAATAGTTGCTCAATGCATGCTGAATAAATACATAGAGTATGAATCCAAGGAAGATATGTACTTGTTAAAAAAAAAAAAGAATTGGTGCCATTTTTGTTGTTCAAGACTTTTATTTTTTTCTGGATATTTATATTTATGCTTTGTCACTATCCACACTGTGGCTTTTGAAAGCCTGAGCCACTTTGTGGTTCTAGCCCCAACATAATCAACATCTCTTCACTTTTAGAATTCCTTTTCTCTTGTCTCTTTGACTTAGTATGATTTGTATAAAAGGAGGACCTTGGAAAATAAATACTTCCTGTGAACTAGAGAGACCATCTGAGCAGTGCCCCGAACAACACAATTAGGCAGGAAAAACCAGTTGGAGAGCAGATACAGTATGATCTCTTGGACCAAGGTAGAGTTGTGTGCATGTCTAAAAGGCCATGCTGACTCACCAATGGAAGAAGGATCATGTAGGTTGACCAGGGTGAGGTAGGACTGTCCACAGGATTGTGTGAACTGTGGTAGCAAAGGCAGTATATAACATTCACTGACTACACACTTTAGCTAACTACTTTCCTGAAAATGGTCTATGCTGTAAAAGACAAAGATCTAAGCTTTTTTTAAAAAATTTTTTTTAAACTTCTGATGATTCAAGTCACTAATAAGTTAGTTCTTATGGTTGGAAATGAAAGCAAATGGCTATGGTGATGTAGAGAAGACAGCTGAACTGCACCAATATACTTGAGATTTTTAAATTAAGTTCTGAGTTACCTCACCTTATAAAAATACATGTCAATATACTAAATACTCCACAAAGATCCAGGATGGGGGATATTTAAAAATACACTTCTCTTGGATCAGCACCAAAAATATCATTAGTTTTCTATACAACCCGTTACAAGTGTTTGCATTAAAATTATGTCTGATAAAAATTACAAAGTCCACATAGATAGGTAAAGATATATCCAAACAACTTTCAAATACATTTTGACATCAAGGTTAGGCGATTCGCTTGGAAGGGCTTTAGAATATGTACTAGTGAATTTCTACAGTAAAACTTTTGATGGCAACCTTGTATCATGGGGATATTTCCTATCTTACACAAAGGAGGCACTGGTACTTGGAAACAAGAAAATTACTAGAACCCTTATGGTTATGGCTGAGGTGAGGAATTTGTGCAGCCTTCCACGATTTCAAAGAGGTAGTGATAGATGCTTGTCCGCCTGGCAATATCAAATGCAGTTTCTTCCAGGTTGTTTTTCAGACCCGGTTTGATATAGCGGTTCATCAGGAGGAGTTCCAGAGTGTCTTTGCTGTCCCTGTTCCCAGCAGCGAGATGTAAGGGGGTCAAGAGGCCTTTTGTTTGGGCGTTAATATCTGCATCGTGCTGAAGCAAGAAAGAAGCTACTCTGGTATTATTCCACTTACAAGCACTGTGCAGGGGTGTCCAGCCATCCACTGTCACTGCGTGGACATCTGCTCCTTGTGCAATCAGCTCACGCACCACATCTAAGTGTCCACTGTAGGCTGCTCGATGAAGGGGGGTATACTCATCTTCATCTCTAGTGTTCACATGAGTAGCCTTTTCAGACAGTAGCCTCCGCACTGTAGTAAGCTGAGACAGAAAAGACATCTTTAAAACCCCAGCTCCACCAGAAACAGTAAATGAAGAAAATTTAACTGTCTAGTGGTGTCAAATTTACTTAAGTTCAATAAAAACTTGTTAGCAGATGACTTAAGAAATAAAAATGGTTTAAGATTTCTTTTGGGGGGATGCCTGGGTGGCTCAGTGGTCGAGCATCTGCCTTTGGCTCAGGGGGTGATCACAGGGTCCTGGGATCAAGTCCCACATCAAGCTCCCCGCAGGCAGGCTGCTTCTCCCTCTGCCTGTGTCTCTGTCTCTCGTGAATAAATAAATTAAATCTTAAAAAAAAATTCTTTTGGGGGCAGAGAAGGCAACAGATTTAAGAATGAACAAACTAGTGTTAAGTTAACCACATTCTTGCTTCTGCGAATGGGACTCTGAATATCAAACACCAATATTGAATGTATGAATATCATAAATTTACCCCTGGCCCAATTAAGGCTCACTACATAAAACCTTTAGTCCTAGATGAATAATACACACTATAATTGTATTTAATATTTTATATTTCGTTAGCGAAGGAAACATAATAACTGATTTTTCTACCACAGGATTATGACACCAATATATGTAGTGCATAAAACTTTGAAAAATAAACTTCTTTATCAGAATACAATGGCAACAAGGAAATCTAGAGATTAAGGAGCTCAAACTAAAACAACCTTAGAAACAAGTTTTCAGGAAGTGATTTTCAATTTGGTCTTTGGATCTCTGGTGCTCCCAAGTTAAAAATTTATCAAAAAATACGAGACCTTTTTAATTAGTTTAGTTGCACAGACATGGAAGAACTTAGTAAAATGAAGTAGAAGTGGCTAAGTGGGAAGAATAGATGTGATGATACTACTTAGATGATACAGGGCAAATAAATATTCCTGAATCTCATTTTCTTAAACTTTTAGTAAAAGGGAAGAATATTCCTTGTGGGGATATATGAGGATTAAATCAAATAATGTAGAAAAGCACATGGTATATTTGGTATTCAAAACATGTTAATTTCTATCCTCCCTCTTCTAAATGATAATTGTCTCTAGGATGATCTTAATGACTTAATATAAATGATTTAAAAAATATAGGTGATTTCTTGTTAACTTTATAATTATCCCTTAAACTTCCAAATAATACCTAATAGGATGCTTTGTGACTTACTAGGTCCTTTCATGGACATTGCCTCATTTGATCCTCAAATCCTGTATAAAAGATACTGGTATTATCACAGCCATTTTTATAGGTAAGAAAATAGAGGTTCAGGAATGGTAGGATCTGCCCAAAATTACAAACCAAATAGAGGTTCAGGGACAGGTCTTCTGGCTCCGAATCCGATACTTTTTCTACTATAGTATGGTTTCCTTTTTAACTGTTTTTGTTTTTACCCGATTTTTTTCAGCAGCCCAAAGAAGCAATTTGCTTGGATCTTTTTCCATCTTTTTTTCTTGTAATTGATACCACTCTTCAGTTTTTTCATCTTGCTCCTCATCTTCATCAGAATTCCCTACCCAGAGACTTTGGGTACCAGTGGGAATAAGGTGTCCATGTGTTTCCAACAATTCAAGTTGGTTAAAGTGTTCAGAAAAGTCCACAGAATTGTCTGGGTCTGGTTTTCCATTGTCACTTACTTTCCCTCCTTCCATTTTTACTATGATTCTAAATACAAAACATTTCAAATGCCAGGGTATAAATAATCTTTCTAGAGATGAATTACGTCTGCTTTATTTTATCCATCAATATCTGGAAGCACAAACACAAAAATTATTAGTGAAACAGTAATTGTTTATCAACAACATAGATAAGTCTTGCAAACACACACAAATAAATCCTGTCTAAACATTTTGGTTTTACCAGTATTCTTTATATTGTCTAAATACTGGGGCTGAGATTTCAGTTATCTATGCCTTTAATGGTTAAAACTCCTTATGTTTTTTGTTTTCTTCTACTAAGTCAATGGTTATATTATTCTGAATCTATTGGCTTATATCCTATTGTATTATACTAAGAGTGACATATGCTTAAAGCTTTGAAATTATAATTAAAAAGACAGGCCTATTCATAGTTTTTATAAAATAGACACACATGACATAAAGCAGAAACAAAAATCTTTAGTTTCTAATAAACTACTTCAAAGAATTTGGCATTTTTAGAGATGGAATAGCCCCAAGGACATCTGTCCAAATCTCCCATCAATGCAGATCTTTATTATAACATATATAATAATTATCGTATTTCTATCTTAATAATATCAGGTTTGGGAAATTCACTGCTTTAAAATGGAGTCCCATTCATTGATGCACAACTATAATTTAGTTGGCTTCTCGTTTTGAACTGAAATGTGGCTGTCATTCACTCCATTCGACAAATATGAATAGAATGCCTGATATGTGCCGGTCTTTGGGTATTGGGATTTAAAAATGAACAAGATCCATGCCTTAACCTCATTAAGGTTACTGTCTAGGGGAGGTGACTGACAAGAAGAGTATGATCTGTGCTATGACAGGACTTCATCCACATATCATGAGTATACAAGAGGATTATAATTATAATACAGTCCTAAAGGATTAGAGAAGGCTCCTTGAAGGAAGGGACATTTATTCAGCTAGGCTGCCACATTAATTTAGAAACCAATATCAGTTTAAAGAGTTACACAGCTTATTAAATCTTAATCAATTTTTTTAAATGCAAATAAATAATATCTTAAAAATACCATTTCTCAGGCTCCCAACTATATTTGTTGAAATCTTATCAGTCTTTCAAGGCTCTTCTCGGATGTTACCTCTTTCATGAAATCTTTCTTGAACTTCCTAATTAGATTTCTCTCTAGAAGCTTTTTTGGTGCTACATATTGTCTTTTTTTTTTTTTTAACATATTGTCTTATTTCAGCACTAATTAGTTCCTTAGAAGATTATTAACTTAAGGATGTGGACTGTATTTAACTTATATTTATAGCCTACTATACGTATAGTATAGGCTATAAATATAATATAATATAGTATAGGCTATATAAATATAATAAGAGGACATTAAGAAATATTTCTAGAATTAGATTTAATTAAAGCCCTGTCACTTGATTTTGCCTGGAATGGATTTAAAGAAGTTCCAGAGTTAGTCTACCCTTAAGATACCAATTTCTTTCTAATTTCACAATAGTATTCAATCCTAATGTGGCATTAGATTTTATTATTAGTGCCAAAAATACTAGCCTCAAGCTTAAATTTATCACTCATGACTAATAAAGTCTCTGGGCCTATTATGTCATTGTAAAATGTAATGACTGTACTAAAGGATTTCCAAGTCCTGCCCAGCTTTTCAGAGTCTATTGAGACCCCATCAGGATTGCTTTATGATTTATTAGCTCTCTTGGAATTGTCACTTTTTATTATTGAAGTGTTGTTGATATGCAATGTTTTATTAGTTTCAGGCGTAAAACACAGAGATTCGACAATTCTATACATCACTCATTGCTCAGCACAGTACACTATACCACTGACCATACCTACTGTATTATTGACTATATTCTCCATGCTGTACTTTTCCTCTCTGTGACTTATTTATCTCATAGCTGGAAGTTTGTACCTCTTATACCTTTCACCTATTTCGTCTATCCCCTCACTCCTCTCCCCCTGGTAACCGTCAGTTTGTTTCCTGTGTTTATGATCTGTATGCAGAACTCCCACTGGGGTTTTCATTTTTTTCTTTACTCTCAAACTATTCCCTGAACCTTGCAATACAAAAATGACCATACATCAGTTCATCCAACACTCTGAAAAGATACCAATAAAGTTAATTATATCAAATACAGAAACAATAAAGCACATTATTTTATTTGCTTAAAGCACACTCTTTCCTTTCTGTAAAAATCCCCCCCCCACACACACACTTTTTAAAATAAATTCTGAATTTACCGCTCCAGGAACAATAAGTTACATATAAGATTTCTTTTTAAACTTTAGGTAGATTTAATTCAGAGAGTCCAACCTAGGTGCATTTCCTTGGTTCAGGATTCTTAAAAATTGAGTTAATTTTCTTACTTGGTAATATTCCACCAGGAAGAAACAGGGTATGTTTCTTAAAAGAACACATTTCGCCAGAGATCTAAACTATGCCAACGCCTCACGAATAAGTGAGCAACAGACGCGGTCACAAACCCCCTGACAGGTGAAGGCGAGGAGCTTCTGATAGATGGAAACAACCTGCCCTGAATTAAGGACGCATCCATGGAACTAAAGGTCAGATTTCCTAATTCAAAAGTCTCACATCATTTTGTCACTGCACTGTATTTTACTGCTCTCAGCACAAAGCAATCCAGATGTGCTGACCCGGGATCCAGAGGAGAAAACAGGAATAAAAGGGCCGAACGCTCTAGCTCTGGGGAGTGGGAGTGCGCGACAAGGCGCCTAGTCCTGGCCCTCCAGCGCCCTGGTCACTTCCGGGGAGGGAGAAGGCCCCGGCCCGGCCCTCCGGCCCACTGGTCACTTCACAGGCCCGGAGTCGCGCCGGCGGCCTCCCAGCCCGCCCGGGGTGCAGAAGCCGCTCCAGCCCGACCCACGGCCCACGCCGCGGCCGAGCTGCGGGTCTCAGCCAGGGTCGCCAGGCGACCCGCCCCCAAGGGCCCAGCGCTCTTTAGGTGGCGCGAGGGGACCCGGGAGCGCGGTTCGGAAGCCGCAGGAGCTACCCACCTTAAAGAAGGGAGAGCCGGCGTCGCGAGCCTCGCTTCCGGGGTCGTCCCTCGGTTTCTCAGGATTGGCTCCTGCTGGAGGGCGGGGCGTCGCCGCTGCTTTCCCGGCGCCCTCCCGGCGTGCGGCAGCCAATGAGAGCCGAGGAAGAATGGAAGCGAGACGTCATCACTGAGGTCTCGCGAGGGAAAGAGCCGCGGCGGCTGCTGCGGCTGCTGCTGCTGCTTTTTTTTCTTCCCTCCCGCCTAATTCGGGTGGGTGGCCCAGCGGGTTCTGACGCGCAGGCTCCGGAGGTGCTGTTGCTTGTCTTCTCACCCGTCTACCGCTCCTCCTCCTCGGGAAAAAGACCGCCCGGAGGTCTGGTGGAGGAGCTCTGGAGAGCGCAGGTGTGGTGTGATTTTAGGGATTTAGGAACCGCACCGCCTCCTACTTCTGTGGGATGGGGCGGAAGCCCTGTGGACTGCCTCGGAGCAGTGGGGCGGGTTGGCTAGGTCCCGGGGGGTCTGGTGTTGGCTTCGGAGCGTCGGAGGCTGGGAACCTCGGAGGAAACCGGAGTCGCCAGGAGCTTGGCGGGTTCCGCGGGCCTACGGGCGCCGGCGAGCTCCGCGGAGCGCGTGTTCCTGTTTATTTACACGTAGTTTAAAAGCGGGGCCCTTCTGATTCCTAAACAGGACCATTCCTTTGAAAGATCTCGTGTTTGAGCGGCAGATACGGAGTCTTCTCCATGCTCTGGGGTCGCCTGTGCATGCACTTTACACATTTTTGCAGAGTTGTTGGTGTGCTAGACCAGGAGTATTATATGTGACCCTTTCTGCACATTCATTTAGTAGACATTAGTTTTCCGTGGTTTAATCATAATGGTGAAACTAAAATAGCACTGGAGATGTGCTATTTTCTATTGTTAGCTCTTAAAAAATAAAAATATAGCAGGTGCTTAGATGTACATGAGATTCCTAAAATTGGTAGTCTGCTTTTAAAAGAATGTGTGTTTTACGATAATGTAATTTTGCTTTTAGAATTTGGAATCGAGTGGATTTTTCTGACATATTTGATCATACGACCCAGGAGTACTTGGAGAGAAAACTGGTTCCAGACCAGCTGGACTGACCCTAAAAATGAGTCCTGCAGATACCCTGTAAGAACTTGCCTTCTGGAATCCTTTTTTGTTGCTTTGGATTTCTTTCTTTTTTTTTTTAAATTTTTATTTATTTATGATAGTCACAGAGAGAGAGAGAGGCAGAGACACAGGCAGAGGGAGAAGCAGGCTCCATGCACCGGGAGCCCGACGTGGGATTCGATCCCGGGTCTCCAGGATCGCGCCCTGGGCCAAAGGCAGGCGCCAAACCGCTGCGCCACCCAGGGATCCCTGTTGCTTTGGATTTCTAAAGTCCATCAACTATGATCACCATGAAAGAAAACTTACTTAAAAAATTAGTAAATGAAGAGCTTGCTTATGAACAGAAGTGTTCGTCATCAAAAAGAATATTTAGAATGTTAGAAAGTTAATATTACGTGTTAACTAAAAGATAGTATACAGCTATAGATTGAGGTCTTGCAGTAACTGAGTAAATTACTGCTGTATGTAAGCTTATAGTAGGTTTTATCTTAAAATATTGAAGCTGTCAATATTCTTTTAAGTTCGTGAGGGAGTCTTACTGGTCAATGCAAGCCTATTGAAGTGGATTTTTAGAGTACTGAATTGCTCTAGCGCTGAATAAATTGGAAATGAATTTGAGTGAAATGAAAGTCAATAAAAGAATCAGAAGTTAGGTGGAAAAAGCTTTAGACTTGAAGTCTTTCATCCTGATTGCAATTCCTTGGTTAATATTGTGTGACCTTCGCAGGTTAGCAATTCTCTGAACCTTGCCTCAATTTCTTCATCTTATATGTATAATTGGAACAAAATTGCCTTTCTCAGATTAATTTAGATGTTTAAGTGAGAGAATTCATTTGAAAATGCTTTATAGATTGCTATGGAAGCATAGGGTAATATGACTTGAAAGTATTCTGATTGGCCTGGGTATATGTAGGAATTAGAACTCTGCATATGTGTTAACTTTGAAGTTTCAGAAGAGAAATCTTTTCTGGAAAAATCTCACATATAGAGATTTCAATTTTGGAGATCTGTGTGAAATTTCTTTTTAACTTTATTATGGTGTAGTGAAAATAGACTGGGTGGATAAATCCTTCTTCCACTTAGTTGTGTGATAAATCATTTAATTTCTTTCTGTAACATTCTCATTTTTCAGAGATAGTAACACCTACTTCTTTACATGTGGAAGTTGAGATGAGATCGTAGATACATAAATATTTTAAAGAAAGTAAAAGTTAAGTGATTAATTACTACCTTGCTGCTTCAGTGAGAGTACCTTTGAATACTACCAAATTCAAAGGGAATTGTAAATAATTCTGTTTTGTTACTTGGCTGAATTTGTTAATGAAACACTAACTTTGTATAGGGAATAGAATCAAACAAGTGTCTTCAGAAGCTTAAATGTAAGTTACTAGCTTATTAGGATAAAATCTGTGTATAGGGATGCCTAGGTTGCTCAGTGGTTGAGTGTCTGCCTTCGGCTCAGGTCATGATCCCGGAGTCTTGGGATCGAGTCCCACATCGGGCTCCCTGCATGGAGGCATGGAGCCCGCTTCTCCCTCTGCCTGTGTCTCTGCCTCCTTCTCCGTGTCTCTCATAAATAAATAAATAGAATTTTTTTTTTTAAATCTGCTTATAAAGTAAGAGGAAGGACTTTTTAAGTTAACTAGTCAACTTTGATTTTCCTGGAAGAGAGCAAAATAATAAATAGCAAGTTTAGATCTGGGATCAAATTCTTGGGATTTGGGGGTGGGACAGAATTGGAAAACAACGAAGCTTTTAGGTTCAGGGTCCAAAGAATGTGTAAGACTGAAGTAATAAGGTCATACTTTTTTGAAGGAGTCACAGAATCTTTTTAAAATTCAAGTGTGTTTTTTGTTTTAAATTAGTCGTAGACAAACTAATGTTGATAATCTGTTGAACACCTCAAATTTTCAGACCTCTTTTAAAGCTAGAAAAGTGATTTTACTGTATAACTGCTATTTATCTTCTAAATTTAGGTTTTAATCTGAGCATCCTTTTAATGAATTAAATTGAAATGTTCCCCTTTTTTTTTTTAAATACAGTGATGATGAAAATACCTTTAAAATCTTAGTTGCAACAGATATTCATCTGGGATTTATGGAGAAAGATGCAGTCAGAGGAAATGATACGTATGTAACACTGGATGAGATTTTAAGACTTGCCCAAGAAAATGAAGTGAGTTCGGTTTATATTTTTCCGTTTTTACTATGTTCCTGTTGTCAACAGACTCTTCCTTTCTTAAAGTTGATATGTTCCACAAGCTCAGGTGCTCAGTTTACCTGCTTAAGCATCAATATACTAAAAAACCCAAAGCAGGTTTTTGAGTACTTTGTGATCTTAATTCAAGTAGGAGCTAGTTTTGCCAGAAATTTGTAAAAGTTTACGAATATTTATGGGGTGTTTGTGAGTATGCAGGATCTTGTGGCAGTTTCTATTTGAAATGGAAAGATCACTCATGATTTCTGCTTTCCTTTTTTTTTTTTAAATTTTTTTTTATTTATTTATGATAGTCACAGAGAGAGAGAGAGGCGCAGAGACATAGGCAGAGGGAGAAGCAGGCTCCATGCACCGGGAGCCCGATGTGGGATTCGATCCTGGGTCTCCAGGATCGCGCCCTGGGCCAAAGGCAGGCGCCAAACCGCTGCGCCACCCAGGGATCCCTGATTTCTGCTTTCCAAGAACATATACCAGTGTGTAAGATAAGACAAACGTCCATAATGCTCAGAGGCAGGATTTTACGTGGTAAGAACCATAAGAAAATTATAAACAGCCTTTCCTGGGAGTTTAGAGGTAGAAGAGATAACGTATAGAAGATAGCAAGATCGGTTTAGTGAACAAGGTGGCACTTAACTTGGGCTTTGAAGGATGGGTAGGCTTCTGATGGGTGAAGAGCATGAAGAATGTGCATTTCACGGGAAACAGGAAGACGGGCACAGGGGTGAAACAGTATGAGGTATGTTAAGGATACAGCAGGTCAGTTTGGCCATATGTTAGAAAGCCTGCTGAAAGACTGAAAACGTTTGAGCTGCATTAAGGAGGGCTTCAAATGCCAGAATGAGGAGTTTGTATCCAATTAAATGGAAAAATCTTCTGGCAACAGGATATATAGCATGAATTGGAGACCAGACTACCTTTTTAAAGTAGTGGCCTTGGGATGGAAAAGAGGAAATGAATACTAGAAATATTTCAAAGGTTGGATTTGCATACTTCGGGGGTAGAGTTAAGGAAAAGGGAGAGGACAACCTCTGGAGTATGTTAAGTTTGAGCCAATGGTGGTACTAAAATAAAAATACCTTCTAAGTAAGGAAGGAGTGCTTCTTTATGTGAGAAGGTGGTAAATTCTGGTTTAGGCCATTTCAGTTGGAGATTTCAATAGGACATTCAGGTCAACATTCCAGCAAGCCCATGAAAGGTCCTGTTGGACATTTCAGGAAAGACCTGGAGAGTAAATGTAAATGCTTGTGACTTAAAAATTACTATCTTCAACCTTGATTTTTCCTCAAAACTTTGTTTAGTTTTTCTCTAAATCTTTTGGTTCTTCCTCCTGAATGTACATAGAAACTGTTTTTGTGCCTTTATGTTTAGCCCAAAACTTTCATCGTATTTTGTTGCACTGTAGTAGCTCTCATTGGTCTATTTGCATTTTTCCCCTAAATCTATTCAGCATAGCCAAAGTGAACTTTTAAAATCATAAGTCAGATCATACCACTCTGTTGCTTAAAATCTTCGAGTGGCCTTCCATTGAATCTAAAATAAATTCACACTAAATAAGATTCACACTGATCTGGCCCCTGCCAGGAGACTTCTACAACTTTCTGCATTGTTCACTGTGCTCTGTCCGCACTGGCAAGCTATACCCTGGGACCTTTGCACTTCTGCTTAGAGCATGTTTGTGGAGAGGTCTTTCCAGATATCTCCAAATACTCTTTTATCAATTACTCTTTATTTTTTTCATAATATCATATGAAATATTATTTTGAAAATTTACTTGTTTACTTACGATTTTCTCCACTAGAAGGTCAGCTCCATGAGAGTGAAAAATCTTTTCTGGTTTTGCATGCTGTTATCTTAAAATCTAGAAAAGATCTAATAAGCTGTAGATAACTCTTAAAACTTGTTAACAAATGAGGGAGTATCTAATAGTCCTCTTAAAGTGATTTCCTCTTGCCCTGAGGGCAGAGAAACTTGGAGCCCAAGGAGGTCTGTTTCCTGCTAGAGAATCTTGTGTTCTTTCTTTCCTCATAGGTACTAAAATGTGTGTTTTCCTAAGCATAAGCTGCTTTCTTCTACTTTGTCCTTTGCTTTCCTTCTCTTTCCTTGTTTCCCTTTCCACATCTCTTAATTTTAGCACTCTCCTCCCCCACAGCCCCAATGCATATTTACTTTTACCCGATTCTGTATTTAGTATCCCTTATGATTGAAATCTTTTTCCTGACTTTAAGTCCCTTATTTTATGTGTCTGTGCTAGCTAGCCTTATTTCTACTCCTTAATTCCTTGGAATCTTTTTTTAAATTTATAGCTTTGAAACATTATCAATCTCACGGAAATATTGCAAGAATAGTATAAAGAATTCCTTACCCTTCATTCAGATTTTCCTACATTTTACCACAATTGCTTTATTCTCTCTCATTATAGATACATACGCACATACTTTTTTCCTGAACCATTTGAGGGTACATCGTGTGTGTAACCACAGTGCACTTATCAAAACTGGGAAATTAATGTTGATTCAATACTATTACACCATTTTAAGATGCTGCGAATTGTCTCAGTAATGTCTATTACAGCAATTTGGGGCAGATTGGGAGAGTCCAGGTCCTAAACTAGGATTACATTACATTTAGTTGTCATGTTTCTTTCGTTTCTTATAATCTGGTACATTTCCTCAGTCTGCCTCCTTTTTAGTGTTCTTAGAGTCACAAACTAGCTTTCAAAAAAAAAAAAAATATAGAGATCCCTGAGTGGCTTAGTTAGCGTCTGCCTTTGGCCCAGGGCGTGATCCTGGAGACCTCGGATCGAGACCTATGTTGGGCTCCCTGCACGGAGAATGCTTCTCCCTCTGCCTGTGTCTCTGCCTCTCTGTGTGTGTGTCTTTCACGAGTAAATAAATAAAAGTCTTTAAAAAAAATATTGTAAAATACACATAACAAATTTACCATCTTAACCATTTTTCAGTGTACACTTTATCAGCTTAAGCATTTACATTGCTGTGTAACCAATTTCCAGACCTCTTCATTTTGCAAAAGTGAAAATATATCATTTAACTACTCCCCCCTCCTGAAATGTTTTTCGTTTTGTTTTCATTTTCTTTGTTTTTTTTCTATGCTGTTAATTGTGATCATTTTCTTTCTTAAGTCATGTTCATTTTTGAAGGCCTAGCTTAAGTGCCACACTTTTAATAAAGTTTCTCTGACTACAGTAGGATGGAAAACTTTTCCCTTCTTTCCTTTTAGGTTCTTTGGTCTAATAATTAAATCACCGTAAGACAAATTAATAGGTGAAAAACAAATTTTGTATATACAGAAGCCTTATAAGAGTTTTAGACTGCCTGGAAGTTATCTCTGATAATTCCTCTCTTCCTGGTGTAGGCCACCTGTCTAAATTCTTTTCAGGTAGTTAAGGTGGGTTTTTTTGTTTTGTTTTGTTTTGTTTTTTTAAAAAGCTTTTCCTGAGTCTGCTGAGTCTTAACTGCCTTTAGCTCAAAATAGTCCACATGCCAAAGTGACACTTTTTGGGGATGATATATTTCCGTTCCCCCTCACTGCTGTAGCTCAGGTGATCTGTACTGCCAGGTTCCTTTCATATTATTAAGAATTAATCGAGTTTCTTTAGGTAGATTATACACTTCTTGAAAGTGTGAGTCTTGGGCTCTTTTTTTTTTTATAATTCTTTGCTTCTCTCTTGTTTCTAGAATACTCTTCCTTAAAGTTTCATTTATTCTTCATAGTGTAACTCATGCCACCATGTTGGCGTATCTCTTGTGGATTCCTGTCCTCAGATGAGTTTCTTCCCTTCATTAAAACTGATTGTAGGGGATCCCTGGGTGGCTCAGCAGTTTAGCATCATCTGCCTTTGGCCCAGGGTGTGATCCTGGGGTCCCAGGATCAAGTCCCACATCAGGCTCCCTGCATGGAGCCTGCTTCTCCCTCTGCCTGTGTCTCTGCCTCTCTCTCTCTCTCTGTCTCTCATGAATAAATACATAAAATCTTAAAAAAGAAAAAAAAAGGAACTGATTGTGATGTCATTGCTGCTCCTGGTTTGTTTACATACCTGTTCTAGTGCATGTCTGAGTCTGACATCTGTTCAGAAACATAACACTTTGTCTCTTCAGTTGGACTCGGAACATATTTAGGAAAGAGATTGTATTTTATTCATTATTGTGTTCTCAGGGCGCAGTACAGGGAATTGCACATTGTCATTGTTTAATGAGGGCATGGACATCATCTGTTTTAGAAATTGCTAATTCCTAGGTGCCAGTGCCTGGGGAGCCGTAAATAATTGCTGAATGAATTGGATGAATAATCTGAATTGAATTGGGTCTCTTGGCCATAGGTTTTGTTAAGGTGCCACATTTATGTTTGATTTGAATAATGACGACGAAAAAGAAATAGTGACACTTTGGTAAACATGTGTCAGAGGTTTGATATAATTTGAAGATAGATGGCTTTTTTGAAGGTGTTCTGGGAACCTAAATTGGAGTCAGATTAATCACTAGACTGGCAGGCCCATTGAATAAATAAAATATAAGATTTTAAATCTCCATACACAATGTTATCTTTTGTGAGATTCTTTTTTTCTACCTCTTTGCTCTATAGTTTAACATTTTTACCCATAAAACATACTAATTTTCCCACTATTTTCTGTTGATTAGGTGGATTTTATTTTGTTAGGTGGTGATCTTTTTCATGAAAATAAGCCCTCAAGAAAAACATTACATACCTGCCTCGAGTTATTAAGAAAATATTGCATGGGTGATCGTCCTGTACAGTTTGAAATTCTCAGCGATCAGTCAGTCAACTTTGGTTTTAGTAAGTAAGTATATTTAAAAGCTTAAGTAAATGTTTCCTTGTGTATATTTTCTATAAAAGTCAAACACCTTAACAGCTATTTCAACTTCACTATAAGCTGTTTTTTTTTAGCTATTTTCAACATAAATGTAATTCTTTGAATTTTCTGTATATCATTGTATTAATTTGTATTTTCTTAATTAATGGTGGAACTGAGTATCTTCTCAAGTTTTTTTTTTTTTTTAAAGATTTATTTATTTATTTATTTATTCATGATAGAGAGAGAGGCAGAGATACAGGAGGAGGGAGAAGCAGGTTCCATGCCGGGAGCCCGACGTGGGACTCGATCCCAGGACTCCAGGATCGCGCCCTGGGCCAAAGGCAGGCGCTAAACTGCTGAGCCACCCAGGGATCCCCTCTTCTCAAGTTTTTATTGTACATTTTGGTATCTTCTATTCATATTCTTTGCCCATTTTAAAAATTGTGATTTTTCTCTTTTCCTATTGAATTTGCAGAGGCTATTTATGTATTAAGTGTTTGTTAGAAAAAAAAAAAGTGTTTGTTAGGCATGTATTTTATTTTTCCAGTCAGAGGATTGTCTTTTGACTTTTTTTATGGAGACTTTTGTTGACAAATACCTAATTTTGATGTAGTATATACCATTTTTTCCCCTTAAGTGTTGTACTTTGGGGACTGACTGACGATATTCACCTAGAACCTCATGTCATAAAGATAGTCTCATGTTTTTTCTTAAACACTTTATGGCATACCACACTGCATGTAGTCATATGGTATGTTAGCCCACAGCTAACACTCAGTGGTGAAAAACTGAAAGCTTTTCTTCTAAGATCAGGAGCAAGACAAGGATTCCCACTCTCACCCCTCCTATTCAGCATCATATTAGAAGTCCTAGAGCAGCTAGGCAAGAAAAATAAGTAAAAGGTATCCTAATTGGAAAGGAAGAAGTAAAGTTGTCTTTATTTGCAGATGACAATATCATATATAGAAAATCTGGAAGATTTTGTGAAAAAACTGTTAAAAACTGGGCAACCCGGGTGGCTCAGCAGTTTAGCGCTGCCTTTGGCCCAAGGCGTGATCCTGGAGACCTGGGATCGAGTCCCACATCAGGCTACCTGCATGGAGCCTGCTTCTCCCTCTGCCTGTGTCTCTGCCTCTCTCTCTCTCTGTTCTCTCTCATGAATAAATAAATAAAATCTTAAAAAAAAAAAAAACTGTTAAAAACTAATAAATGAATTCAGTAAAGCTGTAGGATACAAAATCAGTATACAAAAATCAATTCCATTTCTACATGTTAACAATGCATTACCAGAAAGAGAAATTAAGAAAAAAAAAGAATAAAAAAAGAAAAAAGAATAGAATACTTAGGAATAAATTTAATCAAAGAGATGAAAGATCTAAATGCTGAAAACTGTGACATTGGTGAAAGAAACTGAAGACACGAAAATGGAAAGAAACGTTGTGCTCATGGGTTGGAAGAATTAAAATTGTTAAGCTGTCCATGTTACCCAAAGTGATCTACAAATTCAGTGCATTTCTATCAAAACTCTAATGGTATTTTTCATAGAACTAGAATAAACAATCCTAAAATTTGTGTGGAACCACAAAAGACCCCAAATATCCAAAGCAGTGTTCAGAAAGAAAGATAAAAGTGGAGGCATCACCGTTGCTGATTTCAAACTGTATTACAAAGCTATAGTAATCAAAACAATGTGATATTGGCATAAAAACAGACATACAAGTCATTACAACAGATTAGAGAACGCAGAAATAAACCCATGCATATTTGGTCAATTAACTGAAAACAAAGGAGCCAAGAATATACAATGGGGAAAGAAGAACAATCTCTTCAATAAATGGTATTGGGAAAACCAGACAGACACATACAAAAGAATGAGGTTCCCCTCATCTTTCACCATACACAGAAATCAACTCAAAATGGAATAGAGACTTGAATGTGAGGCTTGAAACCATAAATGGGTTAGGATGATGTGGCATGTACATATGAACATGAAATATTACTCAGCTATGAGAAGGAAGGACATTTAGCCATTTGTGACATGGATGGACCTCAAGGGCATTATGCTGTGAAATCAGACGTAAAAATCCTGTGTAGCATCCTTAATGTATGGAATCTAACAAAGCTGAATTCAGACTAGGATGGTGGTTAACCAGGACCAGGGCTTGAGGGGAAAAGGGAGATGTGATCAAAGACTATAAACTTTTCAATTACAAAATGAGTAAATTCCAAGGATCTAATGTACAACATAGTGATTATAGTTGATAAAATATTATTTTATACTTGCAAGTTGCTAAGAGAGTAGGTTTCAAATATTCTTGTTATTAAAAAAAAAGTAATTATGTGACATGATGCGAGTGTTTTAGCTAAGCTGTAGTGGTTATTTTGCAATATGTGTATTCGAAATAACATTTTACATCTTAAAGTTATACAATGTTATATCAATTATTTTATGATAAAGCTTGAAAAAATAGGATGCTCCAATAATTTAAAATGTGATATGTATGACTAATGACTTGATAGGCAGATAAGTGAAAATTATAGAGCTTCCAGAAATAGCCTTAACACATGTAGGAATTTAGTATTTGGAGAAAGTGGTGTCTCATATCTCCAAGAAAAATATGGATTGTTCAGTAAATGTACTAGAAATATCAGACATTTAAAAAAAACTTAGATGTGGGAAAGACTTTTCTGTGTATGATACAAACTGAGAAGCCATAAAATTAAAATTGATTGTCTTTGTAAAAGTAAATTTGCATGACAAAAACTGCCTGAAACAAAATGAAAAGTCAGAGTTCAACTAGGAAGAATATTTGGCAATTCATTGCAAATTAGAGTAAGGTCTAATTTCCCCAGTAGGCAAATAACTCTTTCAAATCAATTTTAAAAATTTGAGAGTTCATAAAAACGTAGGTAAAGAGTACAGATATAGTTCACAGAAAAGGTGACATTTAAACATAAGAATATGAAAATACGAAAGGGGATTCATAGGAAAGATACAAAATTAAGCACTACTGAGAGATTTTTCTCCTGTCAGATTGGCGTAGATGAATGATTCTCAATTCTAGGTTGACATTGTAGTCACCTAGAAATATATAAAAAAAAATTACGACAGTTTCTGGGTCAATTACTCTCTTGTATGTGTCAGTGTCGTATCTTAAAAGATACCTAGACAATTGTTATTTCTTAAAAGATACCTAGACAATTCTAACATGCAACTAAGGTTTAGAACCCCAGGCATAGATTTAAAAGCTTGGTAACTTAGTATGCTGATAGAATAAAGGGAAAAAGTAGTCTCTCGTGAGTTGCTGTTGTATTATGTGTAAATTTATCTAATTCTCTTGAGGGAAATTGATATTTCCAAATTTACAAATGCATGCTTATCCTTTGACCTCATATCCTTCTAAGTATTTTCTTATATATGCACAAGGATAATTTTGTACAAGATTACTCATTGTACATTATTTGTGTTATTTGTAAAGTAAAAAAAACTGGAAATAGTCTAAATGTCCATTGGTAGGTAACTACTTAAACACCTTATAATAGCCCATTCAATGGAGTACTGTCTTGCCAAAGAAAGCACAAGGAAGTTCTTTGTGTACTGATAGAGAATGATTTCTAAAACATATTAAATGAAAAAATAGGGTGCAGAAATCTGTATCATGCTGCCATTTGTGTAAGAAGAAAAAAGATGCATTTTATTTGCTAAGGAAAGTATAAGATATTATTGCAAAGATATACTAGAAGTTGCTATTGGCATTTGCCTCTGAGTAGAGAAGCTAGGTGACTAGGTGCAGGGGTGGGTGGGAGACTTGTAAATTGCACAAGTAGTTAGTGATAGAGCTGGAATTTTGAATCTTGGTTTCCAAAATGATGTGTTTCCTTCCCTCCCTCTTCTTCAAAGAACCTTATACAAAGGCTTTTAAAATTCTCAAGCACTCTTTACTTTTCATTAGTCAGATATATCTCATGTAATTCACAAATATCATATATTGCAGTGTTTTCTTTAGGGTAGTACTGTGTGATATTTATTTGAATTGTTCCTTGTCCTTTTATTTCTTTAAAGCTCACTCAACACTAGTGGTCTTCTGCCAACTTACTCAGTTTGCCCATAATTGCATTAATTTTTTAGAGGAAGGTATTGGGGAAAACAGCTTTTTTGTCTTTTATAGAAACATTAATTTTTTTTTTTTTTAAGGTTTCCGTGGGTGAACTACCAAGATGGCAATCTCAACATTTCGATTCCAGTGTTTAGTATTCATGGCAATCATGATGATCCGACAGGGGTAATTATAGGGTTCTTACAGTTTGTTGTCACTTTAGTTTATGGAAAACATTCCTGTCCTTCCCAGAAATTTTTAGTCAAATTGAGTCAGAAAGTCAAATTGACTTTGAATCATTCATATAAGCTTTTATACTGCTTTTTAGATAATTTTTAATAATCTGGGAATAGTAATTGGTATGTGAAGTATGCTTTTATTTCATTAGTGCTAAGATTGACAATAAGTAACCAGGAGTAAGAATAAATACCCAACATTTGTATAAAGCTTTATAGTTTACCTGGTGCTTTTGTGTCTCTTATCTCAAAATCTTACCTGTAGGAAATGATTTCTCATCAACAGTTTTAAATAGAAATTAGATCATCTTATTGCCTATATGATGTGGAAATAATAATTGAGGTTCTACACTTAAAATAGCTTTTTGTTTTATCTGATCATTAATACCATAAATCACTAGTATCTAGTTTTTTTTTCCCCATGGTTTAAGAGATCTATTTACTATTACAAAGCACTTATTTCAGGGCTGGTTTTTATTTTATTTCTTTTCTTTAAGTAGGCTCCATGCCCAGCATGGAGCCCAGTGCAGGACTTGAACTCATGACTCTGAGATCGAGACCTGAGCTGAAATCAAGAGTGGGACACTTAACCAGCTGAGCCACCCAGGCACCCTTGGTTTTTATTTTTGGTGGTCAAGACACCATAAGTTTTGATGAAATGTTAACTTTGAATTTAGCATGTGGTTCCAAATTATTGTAAGTCATTTGTAATTGAAGAAAGGTAATAAATACTTTTACTGTTGTAATTTTGTTCTGGGAAGATACTATCCTAATCTATGTAAGTAGTATATGGAATATGCTTTAATACGTAATAATATGATATGGGATTACTTATTTTTAGATATATATTAATATTCTTTGAAAATATTTTACATAGGCAGATGCACTCTGCGCCCTGGATGTTTTAAGTTGTGCTGGATTTGTAAATCACTTTGGACGTTCAATGTCTGTGGAGAAGATAGACATCAGTCCAGTTTTACTCCAAAAAGGAAGCACAAAAATTGCTCTATATGGCTTAGGTAAGATTTTTTTATTTTATACTGTTTATGTTAATAAATAGTTGCTTACGAGCAACTGAAATCAAATTCTGGAATAAACTTTTTGTTATTTGGAATAAAATGAAGCAAATCTAATTATTCCTGATGAGTGGCTGTAAAATATGATAGAAGGTTTTGGTTGAAATTTTTTAGTATTTAATAAGGACCATTAGCCCTTAATACTTCCTTTATTGACAGTTTTGGTTAAAAAAAAATTTCCTTTAGTGTCTGTTGTTGATTTTTTTTTTTTTCTTTTAGGCTCTGGTATAGAATCTTGAATGTTTAGAATCATAGAGTAGAAAAACTGCGTTTTGGTATCTTGGAAGTCTTTGAAATACCTGAAGCTTCACTGTCCAGTATAGTAACTACCAGCCTTATGTACATAGTGAGCACTTGAAATGTGGCTTGAAATGAGGAATTGAGATATGCTGTATATATAAGATCACAGCAGATTTCAAAGACTTAGAAAAAATGTAAAATACCTTATTAATATATTTGGTTAAATAAAATAAAATTAATTTTACCTGTTTCTTTTTGGTTGTTTTATTGTGGTTACTAGAAAATTTAAAATTTGGCCTGCATTAGTGGCTCATGTTATATTTTTGTTAGACAGTGGTAGGCCAGAACTGTCATCTGTAATGCTTGGAATATTTGCTTTATCAACTTGTCTATCTTCAATTTATCTGGTATCCAATAGGTGAAAACCTACTTGCTAGGCTTGATTCTGTATGAACAACAACAACAAAAATCAAATAATATTTTTAGAGTGCATTCAGACTATTTGTTGAGTTTTCCTTTGATTAAGTTCAGCTTGATACTTTGTTTTATGAATTTCATAGCCTTAAAAAAATTTCATAGCCTTACTATTTTTGTGTATAATTATAAAAATTATATTCCATATTAAATCAACCTTAAAGTGCCCTGAGAGAAATTAGGAAAAAATTTCACACTGTAGCCTTAACCTAGTTTTTATATTTTTTGAAAGATATTAGTATAGTAGAAACCTTAGAAGACTTTATTTACTTCATTCAAGTCTCTCTGATATGTTTTTAAAAGAAGAATTATGGGTTTTATTTAAATACTTCTCTAGAGAATTTAGTCTTTGTCCAGTTTTCATTATTTCTAAAAAGTAGAAAAGCATCATGGTTATCTATATTTTAGAGGTCAGGAAAATGAGATTGAAGTGTTATGTCTGATTTCTCAAGTGATAGAGCAAGAAGTGGAATATACTTTTTTAAAGTTGGTAACAGGTATTTTAGTCACTGCAACATTAGGGATCATATCTGCAGAAAATGGGTGATCTTCCCACTTTCAGACTAAGACAGATCCCAGGTGGCTGCTGGAGCATCACTCAGTCATCTGTTTTCTCCCAAACTCTCATTTCATCCTCTTCTGTTCTTAACTGGACTCCACCTCTTCCCTATACCCTCACTCCAAACCTCTTTACAGTTAGCAAATTCCCTCATACCGTGTTTCCTCTCTGTATGTTGTTTCTATTCTCCGACCTACAGGGAAACTGACTGGTCCCTAAGGCTCTGTGTCCCATGAACTTTTCTCAGGCTTCTTACAGACTTTAGGGCAGGGGGTGCGGGTGAGGAATCACTGATCCTTCTTTTTCCTGCTTTCTTTTTCCTTTCCAGTCTACAAACACCCTGCCCCCTGGAAGCTACCCCTCACATTTTTCACTTGCCTACCCTCAAATTTTGTCAGTGTTCTTAAGGCTTCAACACGAAAGTCAATCAGCCTTCTGCTGCCTTGGACTTTGTATGCCTTGACTTTTTTGTTTCTGATGTATATGTTCTGCATTCCACCATCTGTTCCATTGGTTATACTTTGGAAATTCTCTTTAAGAAAGTAGACTTTTTCTGGTTTTTAGCTTTTGCATTGTTGGTTTTTTTCTTCCAAGGCCTTCTCTAATGACTGCATAAAGTAGTAACTTTCCCCCCACTGATATTGCTGTCTTAGCATCCTTTTTCCCTTTTATACTATTTAAAAGTATAATTTGTAGTTTTAGTTGTTTTTGTTGGCCTTCTCCACTAGACTAAGATCTTTTGGGGTATAGGAAGAATCACTTAAAAGTCATTATATTATTAAAAAGCATAATATCTTTATTTAAAAACAATATATAAGAATATTTTTAAGTATTTTATTTTTTATCTTATCCTTTTTAATATCTCTTATAACGTATATTAGATTGAAAATATGTATAATAAAGGGGTAGTGAAAAACCATATGGTTGAAAATTTTAATAAGAATTTAAGCGTAGAAAATTTAAATTTTTATTCCACATTTTCCAGATTTCAAAGGTATGTATGCCTGACATGAGAAACATTTTTTAATACAAGTATCTTCTCAGCAGCTGTCATGTAAGAACCTGGAACATATTCATTTGAAAAAATGATTCCAGATTTCAAATAGATAAATAGATCTCTAATAAAAAAGTGAAGTACTTAGAGAAGCACATAAGTTAGAAGCAAAACATTCAGTTTTAAACCAAGTAAGAAACCAGTTTTAAAATAATGTGTGTTTCAGGGTCCATTCCAGATGAGAGGCTCTATCGAATGTTTGTCAATAAAAAAGTAACAATGTTGAGACCAAAAGAAGATGAGAACTCTTGGTTTAACTTATTTGTGATTCATCAGAACAGGTAAAAGTACTTTTTGGGGAAAAAAAAATTTTTTTTTTTTAATTTTTGAGTCAAGTATTGAGGTTCCTTAAATGTATTTCCAGGCTTCCATATTTCTATAAATGTTCCTTAGTCTTTGAAAGTTGTCAGTGCAGGATCATGCAAAACTTACATGTGCTTTGTGTAACTGTATTTTGAAATTGTTTCCAATAAATTCATATCTCTAAAGTATATTTATGACCGATGCATAAGATACAAGAATAACCATAAAATTGAATACTCAACAAAGAAGTAGAACATTACCAGTACATTACCTGTGTCTTTTCTTGACCCCATTTCTTTACACATACCCCAGAGGGGAGCACTATTTTTAATTTGTATATAATCAAATTGCTTTTCTTTATTGTTTAATCATGTACGTATCCATCATGAGTATTTTATTTAGTTTTGGTTTAACTAGAACTCTGTTGTATATTTTTCAGCTAGCTTATTATGTTCCTCATTACATTACTAAGATTCATCCATTTCGATGCTTAGAAGCATAATTAATTTTCACTGATATGTACAAACTTTTTCTTGTATTGGTGAATATTTTGTGTTATTTTCAGTGTCTTGCTTTTTTTAAACGTTTTTGTTATGAATATCCTGGTGCATATGTGCAGGTGTTTTTCTAGAATATATTAGATATAACTAGATCAGCTGTCTTTTGTTGGTATCTTGAAGAAGTTTGGTCTATTGGTTGGGTGCAGGATTGATTGAAATGACAAACCAAAGAAGTTACAAGGAAGAATCCAAAGGGCCTGATTATATGATTTATTACTTATTGAACAGATACTTATTGAATGCAGAATCGCTGGTACTTCAACCCACTAAACATTGAGTGAAAAGAAGGCTTTACAAGGCAGCCTTCTGTTGCCTTATGTATACTCTCAAACTGAGTTTTGAAGGAGGAGCAGACTCAGGTTTTAATAAGTGCAGTCTCCTTATAACTTTGCACCACTGGAGTTTGTCCTCTTGTTTAGGTCTTCCCAGTTCTGCTGCACTTTCTACTTTCCCAAAGTAGGAAAAAGTCAGAAGGAAAAATCCTAAGTGATTCCAAGAACTTAAATCAGAATGAGAGGTGGAATGGCAATATTGGGAATGGAAACTGGTAGTATGATGTTGATAATGGCTAGTTGCTGGTGATGTTAAACATTGATCATTTGATTAAGGTAGTATATGCTAGATTTCTCCAGTGTCAAGGTCCCATTTTCCATTTTGTAATTACTATTTTGGGAAAATACTCTGAGACTAAATGAATGTACTGTTTCACCTTAAAATTTTGCCCGCTAATTTTAGCCTCCTTCGGTGGATCTTATTTCCAGCAATGAATACTATGGTGTTACAGTTATTATTTTTTATTTCCCTCATTCATTCTGCATTTATTAATTGAAATTCTTCTGTAAGGAAGATTTGTCCCTTCTCTCATTTATTCATTTATGTTGTTATGGACTCAAGGATATTTTATCCTTTGAGTTATAATCCAGTACTGTCAATTTTTGTTTTTTGCTGTTTTTTTGCTGTTGCTCAAATTGTTCCAGTTTTGACCATTAAGAGTTCTTTCGTATTAGCTTCTGTGTCCTTTCAGCATGCCCTCTTCTTATTTATTTTAAAGGTTTTATTTTTTTATTCATGAGATACACAGAGGGAGGCAGATACATAGGTAGAGGGAGAAGCAGGCTCTCTGCAGGGAGCCCAGTGTGGAGCTCCATCCGACTCTGGGATCGACTCCGGGATCACGACCTGAGCCAAAGGCAGATGCTCAACCACTGAGCCACCCAGGCGTCCCCTTATTTATTTACTTTTGATCATATCCTTCACTTTCTGGTACCACAAGATGCTCGAGGCTCATCTTGTTTTTTTCTGCCCTTGCCCTGGAATCAACCTTTTTCCAAGGAGCCCTGATTGCCTTTATTGGAGAACAGTATTTAGAAACTCAGATACGGGGATCCCTGGGTGGCGCAGCGGTTTGGCGCCTGCCTTTGGCCCAGGGCGCGATCCTGGAGACCCGGGGTCGAATCCCACGTCGTGCTCCCGGTGCATGGAGCCTGCTTCTCCCTCTGCCTGTGTCTCTGCCTGCCTCTCTCTCTCTCTCTCTCTCTCTCTCTGTGTGTGTGTGATTATCATAAATAAAGAAAAAAAATATTTAGAAACCCAGATACTCCCATTAGATGTGTTTAATTGCCACCAGGACTCTTGTAGCCCTCACTGATAAGAGTTAAGGAAATAAGTCCATGTATCTGAAACCATGCATATTCATCTGTATTTGTTAAAAACACATGCAAGCATGAGTTTATACTTAATTCTAATCCAGCCCTACAGGGTTCATTTTTGTCTTTCCATTGTATTTGGGAGTTCTTTCTCTAATAGTTAAAAACCTGGATCATAATATCTATAAGATATTTACTTAATATTTTTCAATCTTGGTTGACATACTAGGTAATTTCAAAATTGCTGACCTGTACCCTTGTGAGAAACAAATTTGCCAACTAATATATAGTGTTTATATAGTGATTTTAGTCGTTAGCTTTGCTGTATCAAGTCAGAACACCACCTCTAGAATTACTTAGGCCAGCTCCTTTTTCCTCTAGTCCCTTCAACGTGATTTTCCAGTTTTTTTGTAATATGGTTAGGCTCATTTGTAACCCTCTGTATTCTTACATACTTTTTTATTGCTCTCATGGACTTATAAAAAAATAGGGTTTGTCCCAGTGAGTGACAGTTCATGAGCCTTTTTACATTTTATTTTATTTCCCGTATGTATTTGTATATGGGCCAGTTTCTTTCCCTGGCTGAAGAACAAAGTAGACCCTGAAGCAGAAGAGCACCTTGTCATACAAAAATATTTCCAGAGGGATATCTTGATCAACTTGTGAGTCACAAATGAGGTTCAGCCTACTAGCCTAATCTTCCCTCTTCCATGAAAGAGTTGGTGGTCTATGAAAGCACAATTGCATCCTGTAGTTTTCGAGTTATTCTGTGTTTCTTCAGTAACTGTGTTAATGTCATACCCTAGATAGGTATTTTTTACATAAAAACATCCCTAGATCCACAAGCCTGCTGCTTCTCTGATTTCGCTTCCAACTCTTCCCTGCATTCATCCTGCTCAGCCACGCTCCTCTCCTTGCCGTCCTTGAACTCACTGACTACATTTTCCCTTCAACACTTCTGCCATCTCTCTGCTCTAGGACTGCCGGACTCAGCCCTCTGCTAGGACTTTCTTCCCTTGCAGGCTTGATTCCTCCTGGCAGTTTTCCGCTCGAGTGTCACCTAGCAGAGCAACCTGTCCTGGCCATCCTGAGCACAGTAGCATTCCCATTTCTGTATCACTTTTCCCTTGATTTTTCTTTATAGCACTTCCCACTACTTGACAGATTATATATGCATATGTGTGCACATATGTGTGCATAATGTAGAATTGCTTATTCCCCCACTGGACTTTATCCCCCTAATGTGTCTTTGGTATCTAGAAGAGGCCTGGGACACCTGGCACATAGTAGACATGTGGTGAATATTTGTTGAATGAATGAATATTGATTTGCCTTAAGCGAATGCTAGGTTGAAGTATTAGAACGCTTTTACTTAAATTCCCAGGGATAAAGTGAATATCCGGGAAAACTTCCTTCTTGTCTTTTCTCATTTTGGGTTTTCATGTATCTTTTAATAATAACAGCTGATCTAGGTATAAAACCAGAGTTTGCAAATCTTCATACAGTATTTTATGTAATATTGAAAAACTCATCTCTTATGTAAGACTGAAATTCTTACTCCCATTATTATCAGTAAACAAAACATGCTAAAAAATGACAGGACATCTTTAGAGATTTGTTTTTATTCTACAAAGTTTAGACTTAACTCACATTCATTTTCTGACATAAGTATATATGTATATATATAATTAGATATATATGAATCCAATTAATTTATATGTTTTCGCTATTGATAGAGCTCATGCTGCCACTTCTCTGATTTCGCTTTTAGCTCTTCCCTGCATTCATTCTGCTCAGCCATACTGTTGATGGAGTTTATGCTTTTCTGATTTTCCCTCTGTAAAGCCTTTTGTGGTCTGTCTCTCAGTGTAGAATTGACCACTTTCTCTTCTGTGGCTCCTATCTGTCTGTGTCCTGCAAGTTTATAAACCTTTGGAGGATTATATCACTTTTTGAGGTATTATCTTTGCATCCCTCATCTCTTGAATAGTTTCTGGCACATGGAAGAGGTGTCATAAGGCTTTAAAGAATGGAAAAAGAAAGATCTGTATTGCTTTACTTAGTATGAAGTGTATGTATACCTCTGGATATTTATATTTATTTTTAAAAATCTTGATACAGGAGTAAACACGGAAATACTAACTTCATTCCAGAACAATTTTTGGATGACTTCATTGATCTTGTTATCTGGGGCCATGAACATGAGTGTAAAATAGCTCCAACCAAAAATGAGCAACAACTCTTTTATGTATCCCAACCTGGAAGTTCAGTGGTTACTTCTCTTTCCCCAGGAGAAACTGTAAAGAAGTAAGTGTTATATTTTCCAAATCAGTTAAAATAAAAAAATTACTTACTATAATACTTTAATCATCCAACAGGTTCAAGATACTGATGGTTTTGTATTTGATAGATTACTTTTTGAAGATTATTTGATGTAATCTTTAACTGTTTTCCCAGATCTTAAGCCATTTTCAAAGGAGAGCATTCCAGTGGTGTTAATAATTTTGCTGCCTATATGGCATGTTGAGGGCCAACATTTTTACTGATTAAATTTCAAGTTAGAGTGCTATGGATGATGATTAATTTCACAGAAGTCCATTTATAAACAAATTCATCTAATGCCATCTAATTGAGATTTTTCTGGTTATAAATGCATTATAGCATATCTCTTTTAATTCTTTAGGGGAATTATATGATAAAGTAATTGATGCTGATGAAGCCCAATTTTTTTTTAAAGATTTTATTTATTCATGAAAGACAGAGAGGCAGAGAGAGAAGCAGGCTCCATGCAGGCAGCCTGATGTGGGACTTGAGCCCAGGTCTCCAGGATCAGGCGCTGGGCTGAAAGCGGCGCTAAACTGCTGAGCCACCCGGACTGCCCCAAGCTCAATTTTTTTTTTTTAAATTTCATTTATTTATTCATGAGAGACACAGATAGAGAGAGAGGTAGAGACACAGGCAGAGGGAGAAGCAGGCTCCATGCAGGGTGCCTGATATGGGACTCTATCCCGGGTCTCCAGGACCATGACCTGGGCCAAAGGCAGTGCTAAACCTCTGAGCCACCCGGGCTGCCCCCAATTTTTATAATGGATTTCACCTTTTGAATCCACTCAGATTTTAACTTTTGTGATGATAATAATAGATTTAAAGGCTATGGTAGTAGGATGTAAATTTGTATGTTATTTTTCAGAGTTGTGCTTATTCATTTCACAGATGTGTGTATATGTACCTACTCACAGGGAATATGTGTATGTGTAATAGTCTGTACTATAGATACTACTGTCATAGCCCTGGTAACATTGATCATGCCTATAGTATGCCTGTCTTCACTCACTGAAGTGTGTAGTTCAGACGGGGAGGAATGAGTCAGTTTTATTCTGGGGCAGAAGAATGTTTAACATATTTTTTCAATTTGATGTGATACAACATCAAATTGTTAAACAAATTTTTAAGAGTATGATTTTGTAAAGAAATATTTTGTAGAAAGTTAGAAATATGATAGTCTTGGTGTGCACATTTCCAGAGAGAATTTACAGTGTGACTAGGCTTTCATTTCCCCCCTCATTTCAGACACGTCGGTTTGCTGCGTATCAAAGGAAGGAAAATGAATATGCAGAAAATCCCTCTTAACACAGTTCGGCAGTTTTTCATGGAGGATGTTGTTCTGGCTGACCATCCAGAGATTTTTAACCCAGATAATCCCAAAGTAACCCAGGCCATTCAGAGCTTCTGTTTGGAGAAGGTGATTCCTCTATATAAGAGCTGATGAGATCTGCTTTAGCTGAGAGATGATTGCCGATGAATTAAATACTTCCACAGAGTAGAAGCCTTTGTGTTTGTTACCGTCTCAGGAAGCCCACAAGGAAGCACTGTTGTTCCATGAATGAATTTAACTGTATCAAAGACCTTTTTTTTTCTTTTTTTTTTTAAGTCTTGGAGGTGGAAGAATGTTAAATGTAGAAGGAACTTTGTTTAATTAAGGCCCCCCCCCTTCCATTTCTCCTCCTCAAAAACCTACAAGTCATCTTTTCTTTTTTTTGTGTTCTGATTTGATAATTTGTTCATTTTATTTATGAAAGCAGGCAGTGGCTTTGATTGGGGAATGGGAGGATACTGTGGAGGATGAGGAAAGCCTTAGCATCTCTAATAATCTCCATTAAGCACCTCTTTCACCCTGAAAACTATCCCAAATGAATTCTGTAAATGTGTTTGCTGTGTGCCTTGAAGTTTCAGCATAAGTACCAGACCTCACCTTCCATGCGGATTTGCCACCCCTGAACCTCTGAGAAATTCTAGAGCTGCTGCAGAAGGTGTATGAATGCACTTAATAATATGTAAATTGACAGCTTAATAACAGTTGCTTACAATTACTGTAATTCTTACAGTTATCACTGATATTCATTGATTGCTTATATAGTCTGGGCATTGTTGACAGCATTTTGCATTTAATCCACTCAACAGTGCTGTAGGTAGGTAGGTAGGTAGGTAGAGTCTATCATCTGCACTTTATAGAAAGAACACAGCCTTCCTGACAACATGTAACTCAGTTAACTGACAAGTTGAAGAGTATGCTGGTTTCAAGAGGATTAGATCCAAAAATTCACATTAAGACTGCAGTTTCTGACTGTTCCTGTTTAGCCCCTATGACACCTGTTCTGTGGTTTCTGACTGTGCCTGTTTAGCCCCTATGACTCCCATTCTCCAGCTTCCCTGGAGGAGGGTATGTCCACATGGTGGCTCACAGAAATGCTGAGTTCTGTTGGACCGAGATCATGTATATGTCCCCAGGAGGTGGAAAATGGATGGATTGGTCAGGCCTATGTCAGGTCTCTCAGCCTTGACACACTGATGTTTTATGCTGGTTCATTCTTTGTTGTGGGAGGTCGCATTGTAGGATTTCAGCAGTAATCTCTTTGACCTCTACCTGCTAGATGCCAGTAGTATCTTTCCCCTAAGTCATGACAGTATTTTTATTTTGAGATTAAAGAAATGCTTGAAAATGCTGAACGAGAACGTCTGGGAAATTCTCAACAGCCAGAGAAGCCTCTTATACGACTGCGAGTAAGTCTGATTTAGATAAATGAAACATTATGGGTTTTCAGAAGATAGTACTATATGGTTTACATAATTTTTTTTCTTTAATTAGAGTATATACAGTAATAAGAGCAATCACCATCTAGCACCAGAAATAATAAAGCTGTCAGGATTTGATTTAATCATAGTTTAATTCTGAGAAGTTTTGATTTTTTTCTAATGTTTTTCATTTTCTAAGTAGTCTGTTGTTCTATTTAAGAAGTTGGCCAAAATCTCTAAGTGCATCTTTTACCCTCTCTCTCCCCTCACTCCCTGTGGCCTTCCTGCAGTTCTCCACTCTTACCAACCTCACATCGGCGCAATGAAGCCTTGCAATGAGGTGCACCCTGATGTCTGGGGTGGTGAGAAACCAGCATTCCTCATTCCACTCATCCTCCTCTGCTTGTTCTTTTCTTTGTTTTCCAACACATCCTCCTAACCTACTATATACAATGTATTTATTTTGGTTATTGTGTGTTGTCAACTACAAAACTGTAAGCTCCATGAAAGCATGGAACCTTGTGAATTTTGTTAACTAATGTATCCAAAGATCTCAGAACAGATCTGGCATATAGCAAGTCTTGATAAATGTGTTGAAATAATGATGTGTTTGAGAATATTAAAAAACACAATTGAAGTGTTTTCCTATACCTGTCAAACCACTTGTTTCCATCATCATATAAAAAAAGTAACAGACCTCTTCCAAACCCCTCAAAATACATAGCCCTTACTGCTCATTTAACATTCTGTTCCTCAGTCCACTATATCAAGCTCTGACCCCACCATCTCAGGTGGAAAAGATGACCCTCAGTTTTCAAAGCCAGTAGCTTGTTTTCATCTGACTGAATCACTCTTTGATACTTGTTTTCTTCCAAGCTGTGTTTGACCCATCCTCTCTTTTAGCCCTCTTTTCAGGCTAGGCTTGTGACTTTGAGAACCACCTATAGAGTGATGATCCCCACATCTTTATCTCTGGCTTAGACTTTGTTGAGGTCCAAGAGCCTCTTGGTACTTAAGGAATAATCAAAACAGCACTGACATCACTTGGGAAACTTTTTTTTTTAAACAATTAGTGTTTTTATTTTTATTTATGTATTTACTTTTAGAGGAGAGGGAGAAGCAGAGGGCAGAGGGGAAAGGAGAATCCCAAGCAGGCTCCATGCCCAGTGGAGAGCCCAATGCAGGGCTCAATCTCACAACCCTGAGATCATGACCTGAGCCACAATCACAAGTCAGAAGCTTAACCAACTGAGCCACCCAAGGTGCCCCTCACCTGGGAAATTTTTAAAAATGCAGAATCTCAGGCCCTACATCAGACCCACAGAATTGTATTCAATAGGATCCCAAAGAGACTTGTATGCACATTAAAATTTGAGAAACTGTGATATACTGTGATATACTGTGAGTAGATAAAAAGTAGATTCTAGAGCCCGAATGCCCAGGTTTGATTCTGGCTCTGCCACTACTGGCTGCATGAACTTGAGTAGCCGGATCTTGGGTCCCTTGGTTTGTACCTCATAGATTTACAAGATCAAAATGAAGTAAATACTACTTGTTGCACTGTAAGTAGTCTGGCCCTATCTATCCCATTGTCACTGCTGAGGTTGAGCTCTGATTTTCTCTTATCTAGCCTGTAAATGCATCTTCCTTCCTGCCTCTGCTTTTAGTTTCTCACTGCCCCCCACAGCCCATTCCCACTAATGCCAAAACACAATCTTGTATGTCTTTCTTGCTGAAAATGACTTAAGGATCCCCTAGTGCTAATAGGAACAAGTCTAAACTCTTGCATAGCATTCGAGTGTTTACATGACCTAGTCAAAACTGAAACTGACTTCCTTGGCCTCTGCCTCCTTTTTCTGCCAGAACCTTCTAAGTTCCAGCTATGTTAGACTAAAAGTTACTATTCCCTGGGTCCAGTGGAGTTTATTTTACTCTTCCGTACGTTTGCCCATGCTGATTCTGCTGTGTGGAATGTGCTTCTCTCCTTCTATAGCATCTCCTTCAAGAGGCTTTCATGACCCTCCCCTTTGGAATCAGCACTTCTACCTTTGTGCCCTCCATCTGCTTTGTATGTACTTCTTAAGCACCATTCTCATTCTGCTTGTACTTACTATTTACACGTTTGTCCTCCCAGTCAGCTTGTGAATTTCTTGACAACCAAAATTATACTTTGTTATGGCTGTATCCCTGGCCCTTAGCAGAATGCCTAGGACATTGTAGACTCTTCAGTGAAGTTTGCTTAGTGAACAAGTTTTATGACTCTTAGCAGAAAATCACAAGTCAAGCTAAGCTTGAGTATCATTGATAAAATGTCTGAAGAGTTTTGGGGAGACCCAGTAGCTTGAGCATTTAGCATTTCTGTTTTATAAAGTGATTGGTATAGAGATGTCATACATAGTTGCTTTGGGAGAACCACATAGTTCCCTTTATCTGGGTAGAGAGCCCATGTTTCTCATCTATGTTTGCCTGATAACATTAGAACTAAGCAAAGTTGAATAGAAAATTGTCATTCTTTTTTTCCTAAACACAGTGAATTATTAAATCATTCATGAATCAAAAGAACAGATATTTTCATTAGTAATTGTCCAAAAGTACATTGTATCAACTAGGGGATCCTCATTAATTTGATGATTCAGTAAACAAGTAACTTTGACATTTGTTCTGCTTCTTGGGGACACAGTGATTATAAAACAGGAGGTCTTGAATTTATGGGGCTCATGTGGAGTGGAGGTGTGAGGAGAGACACAAATAGGTAGCCAGTAAATGAACAAGATGCCAGCTAGTGCTCAGTATGATAAATACTGTAAATTGGGTACAGGCTAGGGAATAGTTTGGATAGGCCAGTGATGTGCAGTACAATGCTGGTTCCCAGAGCCTGTTTTTAGAACAGCTAGTTTAGGGAAATGATATCTCTTGGGGAAAAAATGTAGTATGCATTTCTCTTTGTATGTAGGCATTTCTTATACAGTCTTTGTATGACTGTAAATTTCTTAACGTAGAGCCTGCCTTGATGAGAGGGACTGTGACTTCTAAATAGATTCTGTGTTTTAAAGGTAATCATTTCTCAAAGGTGACATATTGGATTCTTTTCCTGCATAGATTTTCCCAGCATTTCTTTCTTAGTTTGAAAGTATATCCTTAAAATGATAGACCCATTAACTAATGCATCTAGGGCAGGCATTTTGTTTTAGTGGAGAATTTTCTTTCTTTTAAAAGTTTAAATATTTATGTTTAGCAATTTCACCTCCTTTCCAGATGGTACTCTCCTGGTGCCTAGGCTCTCACTATCATAGGGAGATGTAGTCATTCAGACCTTGTGGTAATTCTTGTTGTATCTTGGGTCCATTAAGCAAAGTGTCTTGTGTAAGCTCATAAACCTTTGAAGCTTTATTTTCTCAGTAGAATAAAACGTATAACACCTTCACGATCTTAAACATATATTGTAGAACATTAATTTATTTAATTTAAAAGTATTGAGCATAAACATAAATAACGAAAATTGGTAAACTGTTGTTTCTAGACCTTCATAGCTTATTTTGTATTTCCAGGTGGACTATAGTGGAGGTTTTGAGCCTTTCAGTGTTCTTCGCTTTAGCCAGAAATTTGTGGATCGGGTAGCTAATCCAAAAGATGTTATCCATTTTTTCAGGCATAGAGAACAAAAGGAGAAGACAGGTAAGCTAATTATTTTCACAAATTAAAAAAATGCTTTGTACAGGGTTTACAAAAAAAATCAGTCTTCAGTAAAAGAAGTAGCAAATAATGAAAATATTTTTATATGATTATTTCTAATATCTTAGACTGGCAGTGGAATAATTAAATCTCATCTTCTAAAAATTAGTAATCATTTTTAAACCTGTGGATATCAATAAATAAAGGGGATACTTTCTCTGCAGATGCAGTTTTTTAAAACAGTGCTGCTTAGTAACAGTGCACACAGACTTAAGAGATTTATTGCTCAAGATATAGATTATTGACTATATTATTAATGTTAAGAGAATATACTTGAATTTTGCATCAGGTATTTCAACTTTCAGGTATACGCGGTTTAGGAAGACTCCAGTCTTTTAGAATAAGAGGTGTCTCATAGTTTGATGTTTCTGATGATCAGATAATTAATTTCTAATTAAATTTCATAAAAAACTAATTGCCCATATTTTAATGCCTTTATAAAAATAGGTCATCCAGCTGAAATAGTGCTTCTTCCTAAGAAATATTGATCATGTGAAATAGAGTCTCTTTAAAGCTTTTGAGTCAGAATTTATAGACAAAAATATGGCCCTTATTTATAGGTAAAGCTATTTAGGTTTTTATTAATGGAGATTTAGTGAGCTTCAATTTTCAATGTCAGATTGTGACCAAATTCTGTTATGTTGTTATTCGTTCAGATATATAAATGGAACTCATAAAATACTGTTTTAGGAAAACATCCTTATCAGATAATTATTTTTTTATCCTGTGAATTTTAACTAGTTACTTATTGATAGTGGTTTACTTTAATTATCTGTCCTTATCAATCCCTTGAGATTGTATGGGTGAAGAATTCATAATAATACATAAAATAAAACTAGTACATTGTTACTTGAGTTTCATCCATAGTCAGTTTTATTCTAATGATTCCTTTTTGGTCTAAACATAAATTGCTAAATGGAAATAATAGCCTTTTTGTGTATTTTGTTGAAAACTTTTTTTTTGGCCAGTTCTGCTCCTTAACTACATGTGTGACACTGTACAAATAACATAAGCTCTCTGATGTTTGATTTCCTTGTCTGTGAAATCAGAATAATGACTGAGCCTGCCTCATAGAATCATAGTGAGGATTAGATGTTATGATGTGTGTGAATAGTCTAAACATAGTATCCAGCATAGTAAAATGTAGTGATTATACTTATGAAGCTGTATTAATTCTACTGTCTTAAAATTTAAAAAAGATTTCCTTTCACTTACCTTCAGCACTTTGCAAGAGGCACACTAAACTTTGTTTCTCTCCAGCCTCCAGGCTGTGGTACTTATTTTTCTTTTTCCAGTTTTATTTAATGAATCTGGTCTTAGTGAATCTTATTCATTCTCCAAGTCTTGGTTCAGATGATGGTAATCTTATTCATTCTAAAAGTCTGATTCAAATGATAGGTACATTTGGTATCTGCACATTATTTTCAACCTTCTCTGAGAAGAATTAGGTTATTTCTTCTCTGTGTCATACTCTATTCTTACCTCTCATAGTACTTCCCACCTTTATCATAATCATTTGTTCTTATGGGATGTCTTTTCACCATTTTGTTTTCATGGCCAGGTCCAGCAATTGCTAGACAGTTAATATTTGTTTCCCTGACAAAGGTTATCAGCAGAGTAGGTCCTGGACCCTGTGCTTCTTAGCTTCCTACCTAGTATTCTTTGTATTCTTTACTATTTTTGAGACAGCTCTCCTGCTTAGGAATGCAGCAAAAGTGCTGTAAGCATACATCCAATTTGTCTCAGAATATTAGAAAGATACATACTTAAGGGCTGAGATTTAATTAAGTGAATAATTTCTGCAGTTTCATCAAGTATATTCTTTTTTATTTTTTTAAAGATTTTATTTATTTATTCATGAGAGACAGACAGAGAGAGAGAGAGAGAGAGGCAGAGACACAGGCAGAGGGAGAAGCAGGCTCCATGCAGGGAGCCCGATGTGGGACTTGATCCCAGGTCTCCAGGAACACACCCTAGGCTGAAGGCGGTGCTAAGCCGCTGAGCCACCCGGGCTGCCCTCATCAAGTACATTCTTAAGTGAAATTGGCTTACTTTGTTTTGAACTGTGTAGTGAGTGTTGTAGAGTTCCAAGATACTGCTTTGACTCTTAATAAGAACTGGTGATTTTACCAGCAATTGCTTTTGTATTATCAGGGCAAATGGCACTGTAGTGGAACAGGTAAATAGCATCTTGGTGTTGTTATGAAACAAGTTTTGTCCCTGAACAGCCCCTGAAATGGTCTTGGAGATCAGAGGTCTGAAGATCACCCTGTGAGAATAGCTATAGGAGACATAAGAGTTGGAGATAGGAAAAGAAATAATACATTTTGAGGAAAAGACTATGGCTATTAGCAAAAATGCCATGTTTTTCCCTCAAAATTTACCATGATAAGCTAATCATTAATAGTTTAGCCATACCTCCTCTACTGAGCCAAACCTGCCTTAAGTTTGGCCACTTTAACACTGTCACAGAAGCTACTATTTTCCACGGACTTCTTTTTTTAGGAGAAGAGATCAACTTTGGGAAGCTCATTACAAAACCTTCAGAAGGAACAACCCTAAGAGTAGAAGACCTTGTAAAACAGTATTTTCAAACTGCAGAAAAGGTAATTTTTTAATTATAGCCTACATGTTGAATAATGGCTACAGTAAGATAACAGACTTTAATTTAGGATATGTATAATTGGTACTTCAAACAAAAGGGATCCTCACGATGTTTCCATGAACTAAGTGGGACAACAGTTAATTACACTCACTTCTGGTTACTCTATATCAAGAAAAATTAGTGCTTAATTGATCGTGTTATTATTATTGTGGCTATTATTGTTGATGTTATTATTCTTTTTCTTTTTCTCTCTACTGCATGTTTCTGAATCCAGGATTTACCTCTCTTGCATCTGCGTGTAATTTCAGAACCACTTTATTAAGACAGCCGTAGGATGGTGAAGCTACTTTTATTGTCATGAGTTTATGCCACTTAGATCTGGTTCCATTAATTGCCTTTTGCTGCTGAAACAAATTTCTACATTCTTAATAGTTGAAAATAACACAAATTTGCATTGGTTCTGTAGGTCAGAAATCTGACACCAGTCTCACTGGCCTAAAATTGAGGTGTTAGGGTTGTGCTCCTTTCTGGAAACTAGCGAAGAATCCATTCCCTTCTTTTCCAGTTGCTAGAGGTGTCTACATTTATTGGCTGATGGCCTCCTCATTCCACCTCCAAAGCCAGCAGTGTTCCATTTCTCTGGCCATTTTCCCCCAGTTAGATCTTCTCCTAATCCCTCCTTCTGCCTCTCTCTTCCACTTTTAAGGATGCTCATGATTACACTGCACCGACCTGCTTAGTCCCTGGCAATCTGATTTTACAGCCAGCTGGCTAGCAACCTTAATTCCATCTGTAACCAGCTGTAATTCTCCTTTGCCATCTAACGTATTCATAGCTCAGAGACTAGGATGTGTACATCTTTAGGGGGCCATTATTCTGCCTACTACATTGATTAACCTAATCTCTTAAATCATCATTTTCCATTTCAGGACCCTACATCCCAACCACTCTGCATTCCCACCTGTCTTAAACACTACTCCAGTTTCTTATTTTTACTTGACTTATTCTGGCCCATAAAATTTATTAGTAGGCTTATTTACTGTCCATTGTTTTGTTTTCTTTTGTTTTCCCTTCAGCAGCTAGATAACTTTTTTCTCTTTTCCCCTGGTAACATTACACTGTAATTTTCTTGGCTTATAAAGAATTATTTGGTAAGGAATAATACTCATTTCTGTATCCACTGATTTGTACCTCTTTTACAGAATGTACAGCTCTCACTTCTAACAGAAAGGGGAATGGGTGAAGCAGTACAGGAATTTGTGGACAAGGAAGAAAAAGATGCCATAGAGGAGTTAGTGAAATACCAGTTGGAAAAAACACAACGATTTCTTAAAGAACGTCATATTGATGCCCTAGAAGAGAAAATCGATGAAGAGGTAACTGATTTGGGGTAGAGAAGTCTAGTTAACAAGCTCTCCTTAAGAGTAGCTCTGACTTTTCTATTAAACCACTGTTTAACTACTTTGATTTTCTTAGTTTCCAGTCTATAAAATCAAGTTTGTAAAATGATAAAAGTAGAAAAAGTCTAAATAGACTCTTAAACATGATTGATACCCATTAAATGTTAGCTTTGTTCCCCACAGATAGTATCTTCCCTTGAAGATCATGAAAATGCTTTAAAATGAACCTTGTAGGATGAAAATTCCTGTTCTTTTCAACTTTTTAGTAAGTTTTGTCTGAGATTTTGAATTTCATCTAGAACATGCCTTCTCTCTAAGCATAAAAACAGTGGAAGGATCAGAGGGAAAGCTCTTTAGTTTTGACTGGAGAGAAATTGTAAATGTTGCATGTCAAATTATCAAAAAACAAAGTACATTGAAAGGGAGAAAAGCTTATATGTAGATAGAAGAAAGATTGATAATGCATAATATTAAAGTACCTTAGTAAATGTTAAGAAAAGTAGTAAATATTTCAATAGAATAATGAACAAAGACATGAATGAGGGGTCACGAAAGAAATACAAATGGTAATAAGCATATGAAAATGGTGTTCAGAGGAACTCACATGTAGTTTTTATTTGTCAAAGTGACAGCAATTTGAGGAAAGTATTTAGTATGCTGCTGGTGGGAGTAACAATTTTGAGCTGGTATACTGAAAGTTTATCAGTGTATTCAAGAGGTTTAAGATTTATCCTTTAACTCAGCCTTTTCCCAAGACAACAATGAGGTAGAAATTTGTGTTTGGAGTAATTTATCTAAGTGTTGTCTACAGTGGGGAAATTTGGAAAGTGTGGTTAATGTTGGCGCACACACATACATCTAGATACTATGCCACCATTAAAAATTACACTTCTGAAGAACACGGAGAAATATTTTCAATGTTATGTGTTGAAAGAATGCCATAAATGTAAAACTATATACACTATGATTCCAGTGATTTTTATTTTCTATATGTGTGCGTGCATGCAAAGAATGGAGGAAAATACTCCAAACATTATTAGTAGTTATATTCAGGTAATGGGATTATAGGGGATCATTTTCTGTATCTTCTAGATTCCCTGTAAGCAGAAGAACAAAACATTATTTTTAAAACTTTAAAACATTGACTTTGATTTTAGTGCTTTTAATTAATTAGTCCGCATGGCTCTCTTAAAACCTCATGTCAGTATGCAACTAATAATATTCCACTGCAAGTACACTGGGTATTTAGGGTTCATAAATTTTTGGCAGGGATGTATTTCTCTCTTAAGTACCAGAAATAAAACTTGACCACCCTGCCCAAATGTAAATATAAAACTATAAAACTTCTAGGAGATAACATAGGAGAAAATCTAGATGACATTGGGTATGACAATGACTTTTTAGATATGACACCAAAGATATGATCTGTGAAAGAAGGAATAGATAAGCTGGACTTTTTTTTTTTTTAATTTTTTTTTAATTTTTATTTATTTATGATAGTCACACAGAATGAGAGAGAGAGAGAGGCAGAGACACAGGCAGAGGGAGAAGCAGGCTCCATGCACCGGGAGCCCGACGTGGGATTCGATCCTGGGTCTCCAGGATCGCGCCCTGGGCCAAAGACAGGCACTAAACCACTGCGCCACCCAGGGATCCCGATAAGCTGGACTTTTATCAAAATGAGAAACTGCTCAGTGAATGACAATGTCAGAAGAACGAGAAAACGTGCCACAGACTTAGAGGAGAAAATACCTGTAGGAGACACATCTGGTAAAGGGCTATCATCAAAAAAATACAAGGAACTCTTAAAACTTAGCAATAAGAGGGGCACTTGGGTGGCTTAGTAAGTTAAGTGTTTCTTGGTTTTGGCTTGAGCCCCAAGTCAGGCTCATGCTCAGCACGGAGTCTGCTTGTCCCTCTCCCTCTCCTCCTCCTCTCTGTCTCTCTCCACATTGATAGATAATCAAACAAATAAAATCTTTAGAAAAACCCCAAAACATAGCAATAAGAAACCATTAACCTGACATAAAAACAGACCAAAGACCTTAACAGACATCTTGCCAAAGATGTACAAATGGCAAGTAAGCATATGAAAACATGCTCTATATCATATGTCATCAAGGAAATGCAGATTAACAATGAAATATATACCACTATGCACCTATGAGAATGGCCAAAATCTAGAACGCCGATAACACCAAATTCTGGTGAGGATGTGGACAGCAGGAACACTTACTCATTGCTGGTGAAAATGCAAAATGGTACAGTCATTTTGCAAGACAGTTTGGCTGTTTTCTAAACAACCTCCTATACTCTTACCATATGATCCAGCAGTTGTGCTCCTTGGTATCCTACCCAGAGATGTTGAAAGCTTATGTTCACATAAAAGTCTGCACACAAATGTATCTAACACCTTTATTCATTGCCAAAACTTGAAGGCAACCAAGATGTCCTTCAGTAGGTCAATGGGTAAATAAATTGTGAAACATCCAGACAAGGGAATATTATTTAGACTAAGAAGAAAGGAACTGTCAATCCGTGAAGAGATATGGTGGAAACTTAAATGGGAATTACTAAGTGAAAAAAACCAATTTGAAAAGGCTATCAACTGTATGATTTCAACTACACAATACTCTGGAAAAAAAAAAAACTATAGAGACAGTAAGGTGATCGAAGGTTGCAAGTGTTGAGTGAGGGAAAGGATGAATAGGTGCACAGAGGATTTTTGGGGCAGTGAATGCTCTGTATGATGCTGTAATTTAGGTGGATACATGTCCTTCTATCTTTTTCCAGACTCCTAGAATATAGAACACTGGGAATGAACCATAATAAAAGCTATGGACTTGGGGGTCAGGGCGCCTGGCTGGCTCAATTGGTGGAGCATGCTAACTCTTGATCTTGAGGTTGTAAGTTTGAGCCCCTTCCCCTTGTTGGGTGTAGAGATTACTTAAAAATCTTAAGAGAAACAACAAACTTTGGACTCTAGGTGGTTATGATGTGGCAATATAGGTTCATCAGTTAGAACCAATGTACCAATTCTGGTGGGGAGAAGTTGATAAGAGGGGAGTCAATAAATATATGGGGCTGGAGGGTATATGGGAAATCTCAGTATCTCCCTCTCAATTTTTTTGTGAACCTAAAAATAGTCTTAAAAAAAAAGAAAAAGAAAACAACACAGAAGCAAATAACTTGAGCATCTCCACCTGGAGAGCTATCACCACTCCTGAGAGGGTGCATGAGGAATGGGGGGCATGTAGCTCAGAGCATGGACTTGATCAAACCACCTATGTTCAAAATCAGAACACTTGCTACCTATGTAAGCATCAGTGAGTTTTTTAACCTCTCTCCACCTGTTTCCTCAATGTAACATGGGTATAATAGAATCTCCTTTAAGATTGTTTTGAGGATCAAAAGAATTAATACATGTAAAGTCCTAGAACACTGGCGACACATGGTACCTCCTCAGTATTTTTACTCTGGCTCATTTCTGTGAATGACCTAGCACTTTTGGTATGGTATATCCTACCCAGAGCCCTGGTACATGCTAATCTGTTTTTTTTTAATAAATTAATTTTTATTGGTGTTCAATTTGCCAACATACAGAATAACACCCAGTGCTCATCCCGTCAAGTGTCGCCCTCAGTGCCCGTCACCCATTCACCCCCACCCCCCGCCCTCCTCCCCCTCCACCACCCCTAGTTTATTTCCAGAGTTAGAAGTCTTTATGTTCTGTCTTCCTTTCTGATATTTCCCACACATTTCTTCTCCCTTCCTTTATATTCCCTTTCACTATTATTCATATTCCCCAAATGAATGAGAACATACACTGTTTGTCCTTCTCTGATTGACTTACTTCACTCAGCATAATACCCTCCAGTTCCATCCTAATCTGTTTTTAAAAAATAATTTGTAGGGCAGCCCCGGTGGCTCAGCGGTTTAGTGCCACCTTCGGTCCGAGGCACGATCCTGGAGACCCGGGATTGAGTCCCCACATTGGGTTCCCTGCATGGAGCCAGCTTCTCCCTCTGCCTGCATCTCTGTCTCTCTGTGTGTGTCTCTCATGAATGAATGAATGAATGAATGAATCTAAAAAATAAAAATAACTTGTATCCCTTCTCCCAAATCATAACAATACTGTCATTTCTTTCAGCTTAAACAACCAAAAAGAACCTCTCTTCACTCCCATTTCCCTTTAGCTACTACTCAGCTTCTTTGTTTCTCTTCTATTGCAGAATTGCCTCAGAGTTTTCTGTATTTGCTGCCCTGATTTTTCTCCCTCCCCTTTCCCTTACACCCATCATGCAGGTGTTTTGACCTGTCATTTCAGGAAACTGCCTACATCGAAGTCAGCAGTAACCTCCATTGCTGAATCTATTTCAGTTCATCTGACATCTCCCTTCAACTCTAATTTTTTTTTTAAGATTTTATGTATTTACTTGAGAGAGAGAAAAACACATGCGTGCACGGGGAGGGGCAGAGGGAGAAGCAACCCTCCCGTCCCAATAGGACACCCCCCTCAAGACTCGATCACAGGACCCTGAGATCATGACCTGAGCTGAAGGCAGACACTAAACTGACTGAGCCACCCAGAGGCTCCCCCTTGAACTCTTCTTGAAACCTTATTCTCTTTGGTTTTAGGACCCCATACTCTTCTCCTTTTCTTCCTGTCTCACAGTACATACTCTCAGTTTCTCTTGTTGGTTTTCCTCATGTCTCCCGCCTCTTAAATTGGGAGAACCCACAACTCAGTCCTTGGAGCCCATCTTCAGCTACATCCTCCCTTTTGTAATCTCATCCAGTTGCCTAGATTTAAATTCCATCTATTTGGTGGTGATTTTCAAAAGTCTAGCCCAGACCGCTCCTCCCAACTCAAGATTTCTGCAGCCGGCGGCCCACTAGACATTTCTCTGGGGATGTTTGTTTGTTTGTTTGTTAATCTTTTTTTTTTAAGACTATTTATTCATGAGAGACGCAGAGAGAGGCAGAGACACAGGCAGAGGGAGAAGCAGGCTCCATGCAGGGAACCCGATGTGGGACCCGATCCTGGGTCTCTGGGATCACACCCCAGGCCAAAGGCAGCCACTCAACTGCTGAGCCATCCAGGCGTCCCTCTGCAGGGATATGTAATGCAAACATCTCACACCACTAACATTCCCAGTCTGAATTGCTGATTCTCAACTTTTGCTCTATGTGTTGACTCTTTGTGTCCCCTCTATCCTGTCTTGGCATTACTTCAGAATGTGACTATTTGTCCAGTCTTTATCACTACCATTGCATTGCTATTTCTCACTTAGATTATTCTCATGGCCTCCAAACTTGTCTCCCTTTTCTACTCTTGTCCTTCCTCCACCATCCCCCATTCTGTCCTCATTTCAGCTGTCAATGATACTAACAGTTCAAGTCACTCTTGCCTTGAAAAAAAGTCCTTACAACTTTTTACAAGACCCTATTCAATCTGGCTTTCTGTTACTTTCTTATTTCATATCTGCTTGAGCCACAGCAACCTCCTTGCTGTTTTTCAAAGGTAACATGCATATTTCTGCCCCAGTGCCTTTTTTAAAAGATTAAATTTAGAGAGACAGCAGAGGGAAGGGTAGAGGGAGAAGGAAAGAATCTCAAGCAGTGTCTGAGCTGAGCACGGACCCCCAACGTAGGGCTCAGTCTCATGATCCTAAGATCATGACCTGAGCAGAAAGTCAAGTTGTCAGACACTTAACCAGCTGAGCCACCTAGGCACCCCTGCCCCACCCCTTTACACACATCTTTTCCTTTGATTAGAATGTTCTTCCCTAGTTACTTACAAGATTCATTACCTTTGCTCATAAGTTACCTTCTCACTGAGGCCTTGCATGATCATTCCATTCAGATGTGATCTCTCCTCAGCATTCCTCACCTTCCTTTTTTTCTGCATACTTATTATCTTTTCCAAAACTTTCACAGGTTCAGATATTTGAAGAATTCATGACTCCACTGAGCATACTCATTTAAGATTTTCATCTTAAGGCAAAGGATATTACGCATCAAGAAAAGAGTATCGGCAGGCATTAGAGACCTGTGAGAAGCCAAGCATAAGCTTCCCGTGTTCTCATTTGCACTCAGTGGCCCCTGGATTGAACACTAAGATATGTGCAGAAGTTCCCAGGGCATCTTTTATGCCCCTCTGGTCTCATAATCAAGCCATGCTTCTATCTGGTTATGCAGGTTGAAAACTGTCAGTAGATAAACATCAGTAAATAAATGGCTCCCTAGAGATGACAGTTTTTCTTTTTAAGATTTTATTTATTCATGAGAGACACACAGAGAGAGAGGCAGAGACACAGGCAGAGGGAGAAGCAGGCTCCATGCAGGGAGCCCAATGCGGGACTTTATCCCAGGACTCCAGGATCATGCCCTGGGCTGAAGGCAGTGCTAAACCGCTGAGCCACCTGGGCTGCCCGAGATGACAGAGTTTTCTAAGTCTAGCTGTAAATTAACAGCTAAAACACAATATAACTTCTTATTTTGTTTTTGTTTATTGGCTCCAAATGTGGGCACACAATCTTCCACTTCTTGGGGCAGAATTTCTAACTATTTTGTTCATTGTCGTATTTTCAGTTCCTGCAGTGGTCCTTGGCACATAATGGGTGCTCAGCAAATAGGTGCTAAGTAAATTATTAAACAAATAGAATTTTTCCCTGATTATATAACTATGCTATAAGAGCCTGTTGGGCATGAATTAAAAAAAAAAAAAGAATCTCTGGTATCCCTTTTGGTTCCAGAATTACTATCAGCAAACAGTAAACATTTAGTAATTGCCTTGAAATGATTTCCAGAGGCCCACCCACTTCAGATACTTTTTTTTTTTGAAGATTTATTTATTATAGAGAGTGTAACACATGAGTGGGGAAGGGGCAGAGGGAGGGAATCTCCAGCAGACTACCTGCTGAGTGCAGAGCCCTATGTGGGCTCCATCTCATGACTCTGAGATCACAACCTGAGCCAAAATTAAGAGTTGGACACTTAACCTACTGAGCCACCTAGGTGCCCCCGGAAACTATTTTAGAGAGCCTCCTGGATATCTTACAGCCAGGTATATAAGAATGATTTGAGCCATGTAATAAATACTTCAAGCCTCTGAAAGAAGAGATTTTTGCTTTTAACTATTTTACTGAAGTATAACACGCATAGATTACAGAGTTTTTTCTTTTGCAGTCTACTAGACTGCAGAAAGTCCATTTTTCAGTGACAGTGGAACATTTTGGCAACAGTTTTGCTTAGGGCCTATATATATATATATATATATATTAGAGTACAATTTTGAAATTATAATGTAAATCACTAGGAAAATAGAACTTCTTGCATCAGTCTTTTGTAAGACAAACTGTACTTAAATTTCCATGTTTTTGGTGCAGCCACTCTTTAAGTTTTGTCAGAAAGTTAAAAATAGATCTACCCTACAACCCAGCAGTTTTGCACTACTAGGATACAAAATACAGATCCAAATGGACACATGCACCCCAATGTTTATAGCAACATTATCAACAATGGCCAGACTACGGAGAGAGTCTAAATGTCCATCAACTGATGAATAGATGGTATAAATATATGTATATGATGGAATATTACTTAGCCATCAAAAAGAATGAGATCTTGCCATTTGTAACAACATGGATGGAGCTAGAGAGTGTATAATAATGCTCAGTGAAGTAAATCAGAGAAAGACAAATCCATAGGATTTCACTCGTTTGGAATTTAAGAAACAAAACAGATGAACATATGGGAAGAAAAAGGGAAGCAAACCATAAGAGACTCTTAATGATAGAGAACAAATTGAGAGTTGATGGGGGAGGTGGGTGGGTGATAGGTATTAAGGAGGGCATTTGTTGTGATGAACACTAAGTATTATGTGTAAGTAATGAATCACTAAATTCTACTCACGAAACCAGTATTACATTATGTTAACTAACTAGAATTTAAATAAAAATTTGAAACAAAAAATTCACAAGTTTTATGTTGTAATGGAAAGCATTTCTTAATCAGTTGTAGGCTGTTGTTTTACATTTCCAGGATAGAAATAAGCAACATTTGCGATTTACTGTTTTAATACAGGTACGCCGTTTCAGAGAAAGCAGACAAAAAAACACTAATGAAGAAGATGATGAAGTTCGAGAGGTAATTTCTGATATAAATTCCTGTGCTTGTGTGTTAGTTTGTTAAACTAGAATGACTAGTAGGTTTGTTTAGAATAGTCAGTCCACGGACAGTTGGTGGATATGACTGAGCAAGAATTGGCTTAGGATAGCTGCCTTTGATTTACACCAGTTCAGCCTACCAGTATTCTGCTTGCCGACATCCCCCTTTTTTCATTTTGCTTCATCTAAGACGTATTTAGTTGTGTGATGGAGGGGAGCATATACAACAAGAGCTCTTAGTGATCAAAATTATACATAATTGCGATCAGAGCATCTTATTAGAGTAAGATAAAATCTTGCCCTACTGAGCTGATATTATTTTGGGCCTAAAGGAAGAAACTTAGTATTTTGCTAGCAGTATTATTGTAGATAAATATATAGTGTCCACTTGGCTTTCTAAAATGTTGCAATGGGCCTGACACTATCAGTGTTGTCTTTCTCAGTCTCTGCAGTTTAGGAACTTCTGGTTAGCACCCATTTACTGAAACTTCTGGCCTCTATCTGGTACTCAGTGAATGCACCGTTGAAATATATTTTTCTATTTTCTGATAGTCTGTGGTGTTTTCTGATTGCTATCTAGTATTTAAAGATTATCTTACAACTAATTTACTGTTGGGATTTTGTCTTGATTGCTTTCCTTCATATCTGTTACAGCCTTGCCATTCTACTTTGCATTAGCAATACAGATGGAATACATGGTTCGTTCATGTCCACCAGAAAGTCTCACGTTAGTAGATGAGGTAGACATATGTAGAAAGAAAATATTAAACCTTAGCATGACCTAAAGGGTCACTCTCACTGAATTAATACAACAGTTCTGCTAGTCCACTGTCATTTTCCTAAGTATTTCAGAATTGCCCCTGACAGGTGGTGAATTGGAAAGAGCTGAAGCACTTGACACATCCCTCAAATTAACTTTTCTAACTTCCACTGTTTTCTCTACTACAAACAAAAAAGAATTATTCTAATGAGCCACCCTTACCCCTGCCAATCCCCACCCTCTAAATATTTTTTGCCTTTTTATAAGCACACTCCTTAGGTCAAAGTCAATACCTGGGACACTAACAAGGAAAAACCTGCCTACGGAGATGGGGACTCCCACTTTATTACTTTTTTATCTGAACTCTCTTCTAAAGGAATCCCTATTTAGTGGTTGATCTACTGGTGACCACTAGGTATTCCCACAGCCTTTCAGGTGAAGCAGTTTCAGATACTGACAGAGGAAAACTCGGCTATTGAATAATTCTTTGGTACCATCTCTAAATGCCATGAGATAGACTTTTTTTCTTTCTTTTTAAAATAAAATTTCCAAATTTATATCTGATTTACTTCATCATCTGTCATATCATACTGGCTGCTTCAGATTTTAGGCTGATCCAATAATGCCCTTGTGTGGAATGTGAAGGAATAGGAAAGTGGTATTTTGGGTGTTATTTTTCTCTTCTGTCTTATTACAAAAATTTGATGCCCTGTGCTTACTGTGGGAAAGTTACCCCCCCCAAAAAAAATTATGCCCCAGTTCATTAGAATATGTAGAAATAGGAGCAGTCTAGTAACTCAGTTAATAACCTTTCTTTAGAGAGAATCCAAGAGGATAATCTCAGTGTCTAATTTTGTGAGCTTCATGGATTTCTTCCCTTTGTACAACTTAACACTGTCTCCATCTTGTAATACAGGGAATTTTGCCGTAAAGGGCAAATGTTATTCATTAAATTTTTATTCATTGAATTTTTTCTAGGTGTGTGTCATTTACATTATTTCATTTTATTATTATTTTTTAAAGATTTTATTTATTTGACAGAGCAAGAGAGCACAAGCAAGGGGAACAACAGAAGGAGAGGGAGAAGATCCCAGGATTCTGGGATCAAGACCTGAGCCAAAGGCAGATAGATGCTTAAGCTGTTGACCCACCCAGGTGTCCTGGATCACGTACACTATTTTAGTTTCCATTTTACAAATCATACTGAGACCACAGTAAAGGTTACGTGGTGGGGTGGAATTTGAACCTATTTCTGCCTTCAAGTCTAGACTTTCTGTCATATCCTATCCTATCAGAACTGTATATTATAATAACATTAATACAATGCATGGCCAATGAATGGCTAAAAGTGGGAGATTTCTGAAAGTTTTTGGTGTGCAGAACATCAAAAATCACTGTTCCTAAGAAGCACGGATGCAACTGCTATACCATTTACAAGATGGTTTTTGGAAGCTAAGAGGAGGAGGCTCTAGATTAGGGATCCCTTATCTATTTATATTTGTATTCACCTTACAGAGCACCTTAAAGTAGAACAGTGTTGCTAAATAGTAAGATCGAATGCTAGAAGAAAGAAATCACTTCTGGTTCTTGGGTCATTTAAACTTGACTAACCATTTCAGTTTAACAAATTACAGAAATAGGTCTTTACATGCCCTTTGTGTTTGGAACCCTTAAGCTAAGTTTTTCATTAATCTTTTAAAGAATAAGAGTGAGTATTTTCTACAAGGAAGGTAGTAGAAGACATGACAAATTGCATTTGGGAGTTTTTTAGAAGAAAGCACTTTTGGGTTTAGATTTTTCAGCTATATTTTAAGACTTCAGCAGGTTAATTGGGGTTTCCTGGGTAATTTGCCAGCTTGCCATTTGATGTTATAAATGATCTTTATCTTTAGCATACTATTTAGGACTTGTAATGGAATTTGAGACTTTCGCAAGCTTTAACTCCCAGGCATGTAGAATCATTTCGCTCAGGACAAGAATCCCAGTACCATGTTTAAGTTATTTAAACAGACTCAAGCATTAGTCCTTCCAAGAGGCTTTAAAACCTCTTGTTCACATTGAAAAGCTCTAAGTATTTTCTTTAATTATAAGTTCACGTATAAATAAGAGATCAAACAGTAAATATTTTAGGTTTTGCAGCTGTATATGGTTTTTGTCACCCTTTCCTCTGTGTGTGTGTGTGTGTGTGTAGTTGTTGTGTGTTTTTTTTTTTTTAATAATCCTTTAAAAATGTAACACCTATTCTTAGTCTGACTCATAGTCCAGAGTTTACCCAGCCTCTGATTTCCTGTGTTCTACCTGAATTTGAGGCAGGGTTGATAGCCTCTTTCTAACTGCAGTACTAAGCACTATCAACAAAGTGAAAAGGCACCCCACAGAATGGGAGAAGATATTTGCAAATCATGTATTTGGTAAATGATTAATATCCAAAATATATATTGTAAAGAACTCCTAAAATTCAACCACAGCAACAACAACAACAACAAAAAAAAAACAATTTAAAAAGTGGATGAAGGACTTGAACAGACATTTCTCCAAAGAGAATAAACAGGTAACCAATAAACTCATGAAAAGATGCTCAATATCACTCATCATTAGCAAAATGCAAATCAAAATCACAAAGCCACTTCACACTTACTAAGATGACTATTACAAAAAAGCTAGAAAATAGTGTTGCCAAGAATATGGAGAAATTGTAACCCTTGTGCATTGCTGGTGGGAATACAGAAGCATCTGAGAAAAATAGTATGAGGATTCCTTAAAAAATTAAACATAGAATTATGTGACCGAGCAATTGCATTGCTAGGTATTTAGCCCACAGAATTGAAAGCAAGAACTCAGATATTAGTACACCCATGCTTATAGCATTATTCACAACAGCCAAAAGGTAGTAATAGTCCAAATGTCCATCAAAAGCTGTATGAGTAAACAAAATGTGTATGTGTGTGATGGACTTTTACTTAGCCTTAAACGGAATGAAGTTTCACTCATGCTGCAGTGGACAGACCTTGAAAACGTTACGCTAAGTGAAGTAAGACTTGTGAAAGGATGAATATTATATGATTCCACTTAAACGAGATCCCTAGAGTAGTCAAATCGTACAGACAAAGAATAGTGATAACAAGGGGAAGGGGAAGATTAGGGAACAGGGAGTTATTTTTTAACAGGTATGGTGTGTCAGTTCAAAATGATGAAAAAGGTCTGAAGTTGAATGTTGACAATGTTGCACAACAGTGTGAATGTGCCTAACGCACCTGAACTATACACTTAAAAATGGTTAAAATGCTCAATTTTATGGTATGTACATTTTGTCACAATTTTTTTAAAAATGGTGTAATACCCGGATGGTATATGTTCAAATCTCACAAAAAAGCAAATGGAAACAATGTCCTACCAGTGGCTCTGGACAATGGCTCTGGAACTACACTCATGAGGTAAATTAGAATTCCACTGCTAATTCTTAGAAGTAATGACTTCGGGTATATCAATAAACTACAGGGTCTGTTGCACAGAAAAGTGGAGTTAAAGTATTTGAATGTAACGTTTGAAATGATAAAATGAAGATAAAGTATTTAAACAAAGAGAAATATAAAATTTGAAAATGAAAGTGGGTAATTCATTCCAAGAACTAATCATAAAAGGGCCTGTGCATTTTAAATTTTTGCTAGATCCTGCCTTATCACCCCAGAGATACTACACCAGTTTACCTTCCAAGGATCTGGGAGTGCTTATTTGCCCACATCCGTGTCCTCGTGGTGTATCACTACATCTTTTGATCTTTATAAATCTGAGGGGTGAGGAAGCTGTTTCTTGCTATTTTTATCATTACTACTTTTGTTACTGGTGACTTAGCAATTTTTATGCTTACAAACCATTTATATTTACATGAAACACCTGGTCATGTTCTTTGCTCAGAAATTTTTGTTTTGTTTTATTTTTAGTGCCTAGCTCATAGATCTCTCTGTTACAGCCCTCACAGGAAGGTGTGCACACACTCTGTGCATGGTGGGGCAGTTGCATATTTTAGGGTATTTGTCATGTAAAAGAAGGGTTTTGGGGTTTGTTCAAATCCAGAATAGATGATGAGTTAAGTGCCTTTTTGACATCTGTAGAGATAAGCGTGTGGGATTTTTCCTCCTTCATTCTATTAATTTGGTGAATTATATTAAAGCATATTCTATTATTGCCTCATCCTTGTTACCACTTTGTGAGCCTCCTGGTAATAGGTATCCTGGTTTTTCCATATGTTCCTGGATTCTCTTTGTTTACTTTAGTATTCATAAGATCCTGTAATCTTTTTGTGCATGTAGGCCTTTGTCAGTTTTTCAGAGCTATATTATGCTGGCTTTGTAAAAAGAAACTGGAAGCTTTCTTTATGCTCTGGTATTATGGAAATAGCAGTGGAATTATCTGTTCTTTGAAAATTTGATAGAATACCTGTGAAACTTTCTGGTTGTGGTCTTTTTCAGGGATTTTTTTCCTAATTTTCTCACATTATTCTTTGATATTATTAGTGTGTTGAGACTGTGCGTCTATTGTTGTATCTGTTTAGATTATTTTCCAAATTACTTCTAATTGAAAAGTATTTTGTCAGGATTCTTTTAATTTTCCCTCAATCTTTTTCCCCCTCCATTCTCATTTCTAATGGTGTATATTGGTCTTTTTCTCCTTTTTGTTACGTTAGTGATTTTTGTCAATGTGATTTTGTTCCAGAGGATCAGTTCTTAAATTTACTAATTCAAATGGATTTTTGCTTTAAATTTATTTATGATTGTATCTTTATTGATTTCTAATAATTCCCTTTGGATGGGTTTTATTTGTCCTAGCTTTTTTTTTTCTGTCCTAGCTTTTTGAATATCAAATCTATTTATTTTCATCATTCTTTTTTAATAGGTTGTAGGCTTTTTTTGTAAATACTTCTTTAATTGTTTCATATGTTCTGGTATATTACTATTTTCTATATTTCTACAATTTTGGTTATGTGGCTTAGAGGCAGGTGTTGTTTTATTACCACTAATTTCTAATTTTATTCATGGCAATTAGACAATATAATACCTTTTACTATTTAGAACTTAATTGATATCTTTCTTAGAACCCCATGAAGAATCAGTTAACATTTCATGAGGTCTTGCAAAGAAGTATCTATTTATTTTCAGAGTATAGAATTCAGTACCCATCAATTAGATTGTCTTATTGATTATGTAATTTAGGTCTCCTTTTCCCTATTAAATCTACTTTTTAAAAAAGCGTAGTTGGTTCTTGTTATTCATTTATGTTCTATGTCTAATGCAAACACTAAATTAGTGAATAGTGAACCGTATTACTCCTAAGGGAAATACAGGATTAGGTTCCTGCCGACTACTGGCTACAACATTTTTGTCTGCTGTTCAGTACATAACCTTTCTCATGTGTGTTTCTGTGTTAATTATATTATTGATTCATTAGCACTGAATTTAGATCCAACAACCCTATAACTCATCCCTGAATGAAGTTTATTTAACACATGTATTTCATCTGTAAGGCACATCACAACCTTTTTGTGCTTGGGCAGTATTGGACAGCACCTTAGCAATGCAGTGAATCACCAACCAAAAGCACAGAATGTGAAAAACGTGGTGCTAAATATGCCATAAAAAGGACACTTATTTAAAGTGGGAGAGCTGAAATAGAAAGACTGAGTGTTCCCATTGTTCATCTTCATCTGGGAATGTGTGTGTCAGGAGATTCAGAATTTTTACCACTCTGCACAGGTTCACAGATGACTGCGAAAGTATCAAGAGTGTTGTTCCAGGGGTTACAAATATATTTTGGCAAGTAGGTTATTTGCAAATACAGAATCCGAGAATAATGAGACCGAGAATAATAATGAGCATACTTTGGGACAGGGAAAATGAATTGAAATTTTTTTTCTCCTATTTTTTATTTGTATTTTTTGCTACGTTCCCTGAAGTTTTTTCTCTCTACATCGTAATGCTGTGCTAAGCCCTTCATGTAGTGACTTAGCTGTTACTTTCTTTAAGCTGAGATCATTATAATGAAGCTGGATTGTCTCCCACCTCCTACTTCACTCCTACTTCTACCCTACCTGCTTTGTTCTCATCTCCTCATTTAGCCCTGCCTCTCTTTATTTCATGATAGAGCTTAGAAATGCTCTACCCACCTATTCTTAGACCCAGAATTTTTTATTCCAAACAAGAAAGATTGTAGTCATGATCCCTTGGGATATCTAGATCAATTTTAGAAAGCTCTACACTGCCTAAGACTCTTTTCTACCTTGTTCCCTAGGTCACATCTTCATTATATACATTAACTCTTCAGAGATTTTGTGTTTTGAAGTTGGAGCTATTTTCTGATTTTATTGAAAGTCAATTATGTCTTACTTCTGTATTCCTTACTATATTTTGGTTGGTTTAAGGGAAGAGCTCAGGGCAACATTACTTTTATTTCTAATCAGAAAATCTGTATTCATTTCAGAGTTAAAATATTTCATTAAGTCTCAAACTTGTCTTTTCTAGGCAGTTTCTTATCAAATTAAAATTTGTGACATATTCTTGGTCCTAAGTTTTTTATTCTTTTCCAGGCCTTCAAATGATATTCCACTCAATTCTTTTTATCGTGTTTTTTTTTAATGTTTTATTTACTTATTTATTTGAGAGAGAGCAGGCATGCACAAGTGGGGAGGAAGAGCAGAGGGACAGGGACAAGCAGACTCCAAACTGAGCATGGAGCCTGATGTGGGGCTTGTTGTCTTGACTTTGAGATCACAATCTAAGCTGGAATCAAGTCAGAGGCTTAAGCGACTTAGCCACCCAGGCACCCCTTGTTTTATCTTTTTTTGCTCTTAATTCTTAATTTTTTTTAAATTTCTTTATTTATTCATGACAGTCACACAGGGAGAGAGAGAGAGAGAGGCAGAGACACAGGCAGAGGGAGAAGCAGGCTCCATGCACCGGGAGCCCGACGTGGGATTCGATCGATGGGGGAGGGGAGCTCTTCTGCTTGGCATTTCTATAGCATGATGAGTGAAAAATAATAGTGTAGACAGTTTGAATATTAAATGTTATCTGAATGACCAGATTAATGGCTTAGGACACTACATTATCTACTAATGTGTATTTTCTCCTTTCTCCCTCTTAGGCTATGACGAGGGCCAGAGCCCTCAGATTTCAATCTGAGGACTCTGCTTCTGCCTTTAGTGCTGAGGACCTTATGAGTATAGATTTGGCAGAACAGATGGTTGATGACTCTGATGAGGACACCTCAGCAGCAACCAGTAGAGGAAGAGGCCGGGGCCGAGGCCGACGAGGAGGAAGAGGGCAGAATTCAGCCTTGAGAGGAGGGTCTCAGAGAGGAAGAGGTTAGCACTGAGTACCACACACATTCAGACTTGGCCATTGAATGGTACATGCAGGATTGTAATCCTGTCCCCAGAATTAAGTTATGCAGTCCTTTCACATTTGATTTTTATAATGCATAAAGTCAGTCTTTAGTGTAATTCAGACAGGTATATTTTACTTAAGTAAATTTTAATGGCCATGTGCACATAAGATTTTTTTGGCCCATAACATTTGCTTAAGAACTTCACTTCTCACACAGTACCTTTCAGGTACATTTAATGCCATATTTATTCTCACACGTAAAAAGTAATAGGCAAATATGAGCTGCTAAGGAAAATGGCTACCTAATGACCATTGACAGCAGGAAGAAACTCCCAGGTCATAAAGATTATTATTTTTGTTACTGTCATAAGGTACAAATGCCCACATTTTTATGAAGTAGCTTCATAAAATTTATTCAAAAAGAAAACTACTGTAAAACAATTTGATTTCCTAAAGCAGTCATTAACATTAATTGCCATCATCGTATTGATGCAGGACTGTTGTCATTGAATAATCCAAATAATAGAAAATTGGTCATTCCATTACTTCCTGATGCGTTATATAAATTCATTTGTAGGAGTATTTTTAAATAGTTTTTATTAAATATTTATTCATAGGAATTTTAAGCTGGTAAAATAGTACTTAATTTGAAAATTTCCAAGAGAGAACCCCATCCTCTAGTGATAATTTATTTTCATTATCCTTAAGTTTACAAAATGTTTCCTTAAATTTGTTTAGAATATTATGAACCAAATGTGGTATTAGTATAGTTTTTGAAAATTGATTAGACTATTATGTATTTCTTGTTATATATGTCTTTGACTTTTTGTACATGAACTTTGTTTTGATGTAACTATTTATATTTCATTTTGGCCTTCTTTTGAAAAAAAAACCCTTGGCTACCAATGGAATTGTATATTGACTGCTCATTATTCTAACAGTAGGCACTGGTCTGGAGACTTCTACTCGAGGCAGAAGTTCAAAGGCCACTACGTCAACATCTAGAAACATGTCTATTATAGATGGTGAGTATGGATTGCAAGTTATAATCTAGCAGTTATTTATAAATTCCAACATAGGAAGATCTAGGAAATCCCCATTAGGAAACCTCATTGATTTGTGTTGCCATCACTGGGGAGTCAAAAGGATTATTAGGATTACAGGATAAACTATTCTTTAAAAAGTCTTTGCCATTCATCAGAGCTACTGAAAAGGGTGAACCTTAAAAATTATTTTTTATTATCCCTTTTGTTTTTTTATCCCTTACTTTTAGACAGATTTGATTATTTCCTTTATAGAGGGACCATGAAGTCTGAAAAGTGAGTCAGTATGTTAACAATGATTAAGAGAAAGTGCCGCTTCTTAATAAATATATCGTTTACTTTTTTATGCTGCTTTTCTCTGGTTCTGCTGTTAGCATAGGGAAGTCCTATGATGTGTATTTTAGATAATACTCATAAAGACTAGTGTTTTTGTAAGAGTTACTGCATGCTTCTCAAAGCTCTGTAGTTAGATACTTATATCTGTTTTACAGAAAAGGGATCTGAGGCTTTGAAAAAATAGGCAACTTACTCATTATCTCACAACTAGTAAATTTTAGAACTTGGGTTAATCCTACATTCCCTAGACTCCAGAACCAGTGGTTAACCACTATATAGTTGACCCTTGAACAGAATGGGTTTGAACTGTGGAGGTCCACTTACATGTTGGGGGAAGGGGGGCTTTGATAAATACATTACTGTATTTTCCCTTCCATATGACTTTCTTAATTACATTTTCTTTTCTTGAGCTTACTTTGTTGTAAGAATACAGTATATATACAACGTACAAAGTAAGTGTTAATCAACTGTTTATATTGTCAGTAAGGCTTCCAGTAAATAGTAGGCTATTAGTAGTTAAGTTTTGGAAGAGTCAGAAGTTAAATGGGGATTTTTGGAGTGTACCGGGGTCAGTGCCCCAACCCCTGAGTTCAAGGGGCGACTGTACTGCTAGTTTCCAAAGCAAGAGAAGATTAGAGACCTAATTACTGGTTCTCAGTAGAGGAGTCTTTGTATTATACAGAATAACCTATCTAATTAATGTGAAAATAAAGTAAACCACCCCAGAAGGAAGTAAATTGTGACACCATCAGAGGAAGTCTTCAACATTTATTGGCTGGCAACTGACATTGGAGGAAGGATACAAACATCAAATTGAGTAAATGACTCTTAAAAATACTTATCAAAAGTTCTAGGGGTGTCTGAGTGGCTCAGCTGGTTAAGCATCCAGCTCTTGATCTCAGCTCAGGTCTTGATCTCGGGGTTGTGAGTTCAAGCTCCATTTGTTCATGCCCAGTGTGGAGCCTACTTGAAAAAAAAAACAGTAATTTTTAAAAAGTTCTATTGTTGTACTCTTACTCAGTGATTATTCAGTACTTGAGAGCCAGGTGAGATCCTTATCTTGACTTCAGAAATATGTTGCCTTTTAGGAAATGGCATCCAAAAAGGTGCTCTTCCATTCTCGGCAGGAGTAAGGTAAAGCAGAGAAGGAAAAAAATAGACAACATAGAAAAGACCTAGGCAAAGTTCAATATGGAAAGGCCTGTGACTTTGAACAAATCACTCATACTCCTACGTTTGTTTACATAATGACCCTACATCATGGGTTGTTCTGAAGCCGAAAGGTAGAGCCTGGCACATAGTAGTCCTCTACAAAATGTTAGTTATAAAAAACAGAAAGAAAAAACAGAGGGATACAGAAAAGCAAAGTGAATAAAACATGTACATTTCCATGTTAAGTCACCAGAAGCTGGTTGCATGTGACACAAAGTCATACTCACCTATACCATAACTCAAACTGCCTTTTTTCGTCCCGGCTAAATTATTTTATATGAAGCTTTCCTTGGCACCAGTGGGCATAATTAATCACTTAAAGTGAGTCTTTGGGCTTCCATTTTGTTGTTGAGAAATGAGCTATTAGAATTGTAAAGCTTGCTTTTTTTTTTTTTGAAGTAGTCTATTTTTCTTCCAGCTGGCTGTTGGTGTTCTGCAATTTCACTGATGAATCTAGATATGAGATTCTTTTTTCTCCTGCTTAGGATTTATTAGGCTTCATGAAATTGTGAATGAGTGTCTTTCATCACTCCTAGAAAATCTTTCCCTTTAGATAATACCTCTGCTCTTTTTCTTGCCTTCTGGGTTTTCAATTAAATAACTGTAAGAATCACTGTCTTCCTGGGAGTATTGATCTCTTTTGTATTTTCCCTTTTTTTTATCTTCCTGTGCTATATTGATCTTCCAATTCACCCATCTGTTTTCTTTTGTTTTAAGTAAACTCTAACCCCAATGTGGGATTTGAACTCGTGATCTCAAGATCAAAAGTCCCATGTTTTACTGACTGAAGCAGGCCCCCACGCCCATCTGTTCTTAAAACTCTCCTTTGAGTTTTTTATTTTCATTGTTTTTGGTGGGGATAGAGATTCTACTTAGTTTTTTTGAAATATGCTATGTGATTTTTAAAATTCCCTGCAGATATTTTTAAGTCTGTCTGTAATTTTGTGTGTGCATAGTAAGGATATTTGTTCTGTATTCTGTGGCTACTAACCCAGTATCTGAATGTCTTTGGCCACTTTTTAAAATGTCTGTTTCTGATTTCTGTTTCTGTGGATTCTCATTTGTGGTAACTTATTTCCTTGCATATTTTGTTACCTGTTGTCCCTAAGAAATTATCAGCAATAATAATTTGAGATCAAGGATGAACATAAGTTCCCCAGAGACAACTCATATTTGTTTCTGGGCCACATAAAACTACATTTAAATTTGTGACTTTGAGGTTCAACCCACTGATAATGTACTTGCAAAATCCTGTTTATGTCTGCCTCTCTTCTTGGGGTCCCAGCTTAAGGGAGGGAATATGCATTAGGCCTCTCCTCTTGAGCAGGCCTTGAGCTGTGGTAGCCCTTTCCCTCTCTCTAGAGAAAACTGTCAAAACCAGTGTGAACACTGGTCCAGATCAGTGGAAAATGATTCTGATCAGAAAATGATTCAGATCAGAAAATGATTCTGCTTGCCTCTTAGAGTTTGAGCTTTTCTTCTGTTAATTCTGTTAATTCTTTATGTGATCAGTAATTCAATGCCATTAGAATTTTTTTTTTAAACATTTGTTGAAGCAGTTTGGGTTGCTTTGAGTACCAGTGTTTGTCTGAAAAACCTAGCCCACAGTAAACAAACAGAGATTTTTATCTTTATTTTCTTCCTTAAAACTCACATGTGGCTGCCTCCTTTGCATCTAAAACTTTATATCTCATAGTGTGTTTTTGTGAACATTTATTTCTCACTTCTTACCGTCAGCTCCTTTCAGAACTACTATACCTGTGAGACTTTGCAGACATTCTTTCCTGAGTCCTGCTCTGTGACCCATTGATAATGTGGGATAAAGCTTCTGTTTGTATAGAGAAGACGGAGACCAGTCAGAGTGCTTTAAAATGTTCACAAATAATCCCCCCTTTTAAGTAATAACGTTCATTTGTAAAAAGTAAGCCAAATTAATATGAAACTTAAGATGTCCTGAATTATGCTTAGGAAAAAATCTAATTGTGGTGTACTTCATAGCAGTTGGTGTAGTTAAGAACCCAGGCTTTGGAGGCAGACCTGGTATGGTCACCCACCTCTTTACTGACTGGCTCCATGCTCTTGCTTGGCAAGCATTGCAGAACAGAGACTCGACTCGGTCTTTTTCGTCATGGTGGCCATAGTGCCTGGCTGTAGTTGATGCTCATTAAATACTTGAGAATGGCTGAATAAAAATTACTTAGAGATATATAGCATACAGGTTAAAAACATTGTTCCTGGGGCACCTGGATGGCTCAGTGGTTGGGTGTCTGCCTTCAGCTCAGGTAGTGATCCTGGGATCCTGGGATCAAATTCCACATCAGGCTCACCTCGGGGACCCTGCTTCTCCCTCTACCTGTGTCTTTGCCTCTCTCTGTATGTCTCTAATGAATAAATAAATAAAATCTTTAAAAAGCAAAGCATGGTTCCAAAGTCAGCCATTGGTTTGAATTCTGACTAGTTGATTTACTAGCTATGTGTCCTTAGGCTTTCCATCTTCAGTGTCCTATCTGTAAGATGCAGTGATGATTGAATTTGTTTCAATGGGTTATTTTGAGGATTAATGAGAAAATACATGTGAACTATTTGGCACAGTATGTATACATTTTAAGCTCCCAATGAGTATAAATTGTTTCTATTCTATGAGCTTCAGATCCTTAACTATAAAATTGGCAGTGTTGTACTGATTCCACAGAGTAGTTACAAGGATCAAATGAACTGAGGGAGTATATTACTTAGCATAGGATTTAGCAAGAATTCAAAAAATGATTGCTGCTATTAGTATTGGTGGCAATGTTTAAAGTAAACTTAAGAAAATGAATGTTTTATAAATATTAAATTTGTCTTTTATGTAAATTTTTTTGGTCTAATGGTTTTACAGTTGAACTGTCTCTAACATTGGGACTTTTTCTAAAAAGTGAAAGTGAAATAGACTTTTTAACAAACATGTGTAAAACATTTTTATTAGGTTACATTTGGTGCTGAGTCTCTGACAAAATAACCATGGGATACTAACTATAGCTACTGTGATGTTGGTGATAAAAGTATCTTTAAAATGATAATTTCCAGATCCCTGTTGTAATTGGAGGTATGAAGAGAGCTATAAAGGTAAAATTCTATTATAATAAGCCCCATGGAGTGTAGAGATTTACTATTGGGATTTTATCGGGAATGGTAGATATTACACGTACAGCCAGCAGCTGTTATGAGTTGGTAGCCCAGACTTTTCCACTGAAGTTTGTCTGCAGAGGATGGTGACAAAATGAATATAGTACCTCGGAAGGGCTCTATGAGTGCCATGGAGTTTACCGTCACAGCCGCCACTACTACATCTGCTGCTACTGCTGCTAGCTACATTATTTGAATACCTGCTACTTCTAGGCACTTGGCACAACTATTTCCATTAACTACTTCTTTTTATCTTTTCAGCAATTTTATTTTTTTTAAAGGTTTTATTTATTTATTCATGAGAGATAGAGAGGCAGAGGGAGAAGCAGGCTCCATGCAGGGAGCCCAGTGCGGGACTCAATCCCAGGTCCCCAGAATCACACCCTGGGCCGAAGGCGGCGCTGATCACACCAGTGAGCTACCCAGGCTGCCCTTCAACGATTTTCTGCATGAATTATTATTAACACTATATTCTAGGTGGGGAAACAGACTTAATGAGCCAAGGGAGCTTGGCTCTAGTCACCCAGCTAGTCAGTCAAAATGAGTTTAACTCTACAACCACCATACTTGTATTGCCTTCCTAATGGAACTCAGTGCTTATTTTTCTGATAATGTTAATTTATCTCACTGACATTTGTTGGGGATGAAAAGAAAGGAAGGATTTATTTATTTGTTTGTTTATTTATTTATTTATTTATTTATTTATTGGTAGGCTCTTTTCAGGATGTGAGAGTTTGAGGAATCAATTAGGGAATAATTGTTGAGCAGAAATATTCTGTAAGAGTCACGATGGCTAGCTTATTTTTTTTTTCAGGTGCCCTGTTTAGCCTTTTGAGCAGAGTTAGGATGTGAGGCCCCAGTAATTGAGTAGAACAGATAAGTACTTTGCTTCTGCCCTTAATCTTTCCTCTCAGATGGACATCACAAGACTTAGGGGATAGAACCTGGAATAGAAACAAGGGACAAATCATAAATGTATGCTAGGTAGAACAATTCCTGAGTTCAGATTATAGGAATCTTGGACTTTGTGGGTTTCATTGAGCTTTTGTCTTTTTCAAGGCCTCTTTTTTTCTCCTCTTGTCATGTTTAGTTTGGGGGTTGTCTTAGGGGAAAATACTGTTTTATATTAGGAAACTGGTAAGGCTTATGAAAAAATAAAGCTCTGATTGGCAGTTTGAAATTTATTCTAGGTTTTAAATATTCTACACCCAATTCGTTGGTGGGGTGAGTAGGGCGGGTTGCCTCACACCACTAAGCAATTCTTGGACATCAGCTGAGTTTCCTACAGTGTGACTCAATTCTCACACTATCTACCCACAGTAATGTCAGATTCCACAGGGTAAGGGGCTGACTTCCACAAGATTGCTTCCCTCTACCTTAGAGGCTAATCACAAATCCAGCTGTGCTTCTGACTGACTGGCTATCAATCAGTTTCCCCTAATTCCCTCTTTGGGTTTAATTACTTTGCTGGAGCAGCTCACAGAACTCAGGAAACTAGCTTATTCACTAAATTATTGGTTTATTACAAAGGATACAAATCAGCAGCCAGATAAAGAGATATAAAAGGTAAGGTCACAAGCAGAGGATTTGTATCCTCAGAGATTTGGGGGCCGGTACCCTAGCACATGGAAGCATGTTCACCACCTCTAAGCTCGCCAAACCCTTCCTTTGGGTTTTTATGGCAGCTTCGTGACCATTAATTCATTAAATCATGGACTATTGGTGATTCATTCAACCTCTTATTCCCCTGTCTGCCTGGAAATCACAGGATGGAACTGAGTTCCAACCCTCCCTTCCTGATTTCCTGCTTGGTTTCCCTGACAACCAACCCCCAGCTTCAGGCTTGGTCCCAAAGTCATTTAACATAGCAAAAGACTCTTTCCGGGGTACTTAGGAAATTCCTAGGCTTTTAGGCATGCTGCCAGAAATGGGCACAAAACCCAAACACGTATTTCTTTTTTTTTTTTTTTTCAAACACATATTTCTTACTATAAAATCATAGCATCATGGCTTTGACCTTGGGAAAAACAAAGGGTTAGCTAAATTTCATGTTTCTAAGTTCCTAAAGCTAAAATGTAAGGATTTCAAGGAAAGTTTTCTCATAGCATAAAAAATACACTGTTTTCTAGGATTTCCTCTGGACTATTTCTTACGTACTGAATATGGCTAACAAAGTAGAGGAAAAGAAAGCTCTTACCAGAACCGCATGACTCCTAATATAGCCACAAGGAAAGATACTGGCAACTGTAAAAGAAGACATTATGAGAGTTACCTTCAACATATTTGGAGTTTAATCCATTAGATGATCAGGTTTTATCCTTCATGTAGTTCTCTGTAAAATATTTCTAGTACAGGTGTATTTATGAACATAACCTGTTATTTGAGTAAGTCAGGAAGTTAGGAGACTGGCAGCTAAGCACTGATTTATTTGAACATGTAATCCCACCTCCCTTTAGACCTTTAGATCTTAAAAAACATAAATGGTTTTATAATTGGCCATCATGGATTTTTGTAAATAGAGCTTACAAAATCTTCAGCTAAAGATATGTACAAATTTTTCTAAGTTACTTTAGGAATAACATAGGATGTTTATTCTTTTGCATTATAGCCTTTAAATCTACAAGACAGCAGCCGTCCCGAAATGTTGCTACTAAGAATTATTCAGAGGTAAGATAAAAAGTTTTATAGTTGTGTGTTAATAATTTATGCTCCCTGCATTATGAATTGTCAATTCTTTGATCTACAAAGTAAATAAAAGAAGAAAAAGTGGAGAACATTAAAGCTGGAGAGAACTTTATGGATTCTCCAGACTGGGGGCTTCTAGTATTTTGTTTTTAAATAATGTATCTCATGATTAAAAATATTACTGCATACATACATTTATGGATTTCTGAGGATAAATAATCTTGAGCCAAAAAAGTCCATGCATGAAATATTAATACTGAAAATTGGAGTTCAGTGCATATAGAGGTCTTATTTAAATCTGGCTTCCTTTTGTTTCTTATCCTCTCACAACACTGGCTTATGTGCTGATGACTGGAGCTAGACTTAAGACAAACTAAGCTGTCAGAATGTAAGGACCTCATTCTTAAGCTCTAGATTTAACATAAGCCTCTGAATTTCCTTTGGATTCCAAGATTTTATGTGGGCTTGACTCTCATCTTACCTTACTTTCAAAACCCACATCTCTTTATTCCTAAGGCAGTACTCTTCCCTCTGCATCAGGGTTTCTCAGTAGCAACACTATTGACCAGATAAGTCTTGGACCAGGTAAGTCACTGGAAGGGACTGTCCTCTGCATTGTAGAGTTTTTAGCAGCATCTTGTCTTCTACCTCTAGATGCCAGTAGCAACTCCCTTAATTATGAAATCAGCAGTGTCTCCAGACATGCCCATAAGTTTCCAGAATAATAGTTATTACCACCTTCCCATTGAGAGTCAGTGTTCTATTTCATACCTGTCCCAGCAACATTTTTTCAAATTTCATTCTTCATCCCTTCAATATGTGACATGATTGGCCACCCTCCTTTTCCAGGAGACTTCTCTGCCCTGATTCTTATTTTGTCCTTTTAACTCCCTTAATTTCATCTTCTTTCCCCCCTTCTTTCTGTTGTTGTTATGTGGATGTACTGGCACTGACTTTTATCCTGAGCTCCATTTTATTTGCATTCAACTGTTGCCTGCTATCACTTCCAGATCATCTAAAAACAAAATGAATGGGTGACGGGCACGGAGGGGGACACTTGACGGGATGAGCACTGGGTGTTATTGTGTACGTTGGTAAATTGAACACCAATAAAAATTAATTTATTAAAAAAAATAAAAATAAAAATAAAATAAAAACAAAATGAGCACATCCCCAAGGTAGCTTTTCTAGAATTTTCTCTTATAAGGCATGAATTCAAAGGGATCAAGTGCTAATTTTTTCCTTCATTTTTTGATTATGGTTACACAGTGGTAGATTGGAGGAGAATTGAATACATTTGATTCCTTCAAGGCACATAAGACAATCTCCTAATAGTTTTATGACAAAATGCAGAAATGTTGGGTGGATTCATAGCTTCTTAAGCAATTGCATTTAACAATTTTTTATTAATAGTTCAGTATTAGCCTGGAGGGGGAGAACTCAGGTGTTTTTTTCACTGTTTTGTCCTTGGCTTCATTCATTAGTTGAAAACATAGCAAATGTGTATATTGAATGTCAAGCTAACACAGAATGTGGAGGGATGAGTAAGTAGTATTTTGGATGATAGAATCAAGAATAACAAGTATCTTTCCTGAGACACGTAAAACTAACAAATGGTGTTTAACTGGGATGAATGTAATAAAAAGGTAGTACTTCCCACATGGTCTTATACCTAATTTTAAACTGGGAATGGAACACTAATTGTCTGACTCCTCACTAGAACCCGAGAAAACCACAGGTACCATCTGCACATGACCCTGTGTGAGTAATTCACCAGTCTAACTGCATGTTCTTCTAGATACCTGGCTGCTGTTGGTGTCCAGGAGAAAAATGAGCTCAGACATGCATGCATAGGATACCATTTGTGATTGAAGAGTGACATTGGAGGGAGCTCAGGCTAAGTTTCAGGGTTTTTTTTTTGTTTTGTTTCTTTTTTAAGATTTTATTTATGGGCACTTGGGTGGTTTAGCGGTTGAACATCTGCCTTTGGCTCAGATTGTGATCCCAGGGTCCTGGGATCCAGTCTTGCATTAGGCTCCAAAGGGAGCCTGCTTCTCCTTCTGCCTTTCTGTGTCTGTCAAGAATATATAAATAAAATCTATTTAAAAAGAAAAAAGATTTTATTTGAGAGAAAGAGAGAGCACAGGCAGGGGGAAAGGGCAGAGGGAGAGGGAGAAGCAGACTCCCTGCTGAGCAGGGAGCCTGATGTGGGGACTTGACCCCAGGATCCTGGAATCATGACCTGAATCGAAGGCAGACACTTAACTGACTCACCCACCCAGGCGCCCCTAAGCTTCAGTTTTAACAATTACTCTTTACTAATGTGGTTTCTGCCCCCTTTTTTCTGACTTTTTTTTTTGTATATTAAAACATTTTTTTTAATTCAGCTATTTGTTTTTATTCAGATGTTCCATTCTCATAAATACTATTGACTGTTTTGTTTTTCCCTTAGGTGATTGAGGTGGATGAGTCAGATGTGGAAGAAGACATTTTTCCTACCACTTCAAAAACAGAACAAAGGTAGGTGCAGTGATTTTTCTGCAAAAAGAAAACATCTGAAAAAACTTTCAATTATCCAGAATTCTACCTTTATGTTTTTCTGTGCCATTGAAGTTTAACAGATTTATTTTCAGCTGGTCAAGTAAATAGGGAAATGAATGAGCAAAGGCTAGTTCATAGAGGTGATGTAGCATTCTGCAAGTATTTTTCAATAAAACTTAAACTGTAATTTGTTTTGCCTTTATTACTCAAGGATTTTCCTAGTGGAGTTCTATGTTCTCTCTAATTAACAAAAAATAGTTTTGTTTTGTTTTTTTTTTTAATAATTGATTTCAGCCCCTCTTCTTCATTTTCGCATTTTTACATACTGAGTTACACAGGGTGCTGTGCTAAACACTAAAAAGAGGAGCACATTGAATATTCCTGCCTTCAGAACACTTGTATGCTTTTTCCTGTCCTTTTGGTTTTTGCCATTTTTGCTATTACTGTAAAGCTTGACTTGTTGCACTGGTAGCATTTCTCTGTGTCAGTATTGTAGGTGGACACTGCTTAACTGAAGCTCAGTTAATGAATATTTCTACTTAAGAAAATAATCAGGAGCTTGTTTTAATTCTTTTTTTCTGTGAGCATTATATTAGGTCTGATGGGGGATAGAATAAATGTTTTAAAATGCTTACTGCCTTTAGGCAACATAAGTTGTAGTGGAAAAGAGAGATGAACACATTTCAATCCATTAAAAGATGATGAGTCAGTACATAATTATGTGTGAAATTTTATGATACAGACTAGGTGCGAGTGCTCATAGGCCCTTAGAAAATGGAACAAGAATTATGGGCTATGAAAGAAGAAAAAGCTTTCTAGAGGAAGTAAAATTCACTAAATTTACATTTAGCTGAGGTTTTGAAGATAGGAATCATCTGGAGCAGAAGGGTGGGAAAGGACATTTGAGAATAATGCCTGAGCAGGAGCTGTTAGCTGTAAGGGAGAGAATGAGAAAACACTCTTCCTCAGTGTTTCTCACCCTTGTTTCCATGATCTCAACTTTGTGTTTTGTTACCTAAGGATAAAAATTCAATAGGATTTAAATGAATTGAAATAACAAGGGAAATTAAATACTAAAGAATGAAATTTTGCTGCGTAGGATTGAGCTTGGGACAGGCCAAAACCATTGTAGTATCTCAAATTTTTCACCTACCCTCTACCTTTGAGCCAGTTTTCATTCCTGTGGTGTGATATTGACCTTGAGAGTATATACTTTATGTGAACTAAGTGTCTGTGTTGGGAAAATTGGTAGGTATAGTTCCACATCCACATATTTGTTCAGTTAAACGTTATGCTAGGAGCCGGGGGTAGAAATATGGAAGAAATGTCTCCCTCCTTTGAGGATTTCCACTTTAGCAGTATGTTAATTATAAGGCACTAATATCCAACAATGTAAATGTTCAAGTGTAATGAAATCTAATGGAAGTGACACTGTCTTCTAGAATAGGTTATCAAAGGCTTGACAAAGAAGGTAGGCAACATGGGGGGTGATGATGAACAGGTGTGTAAGAATGCTTAGAAGAAATTGTCAGGGAGGAAGAATTTCTCCTACCCTTCAAGGTCTTTCTCGCTGGGCTAAGAATCAAATTGACATGAGACAGATAAATAGGAGGAAATCAAATTTAATTTCAAATGTAGGGGGAATCCACACAAACAGGAAATTCCAAACTGACAAAATGAGGTATTATAGGTCATTCTGGACTGAGGAGAAAGGGGATAGGGATCTTAGATGTCAATGGGAGAGAAAGCAATTCACAGGAAGGTGAAAGAGAGCACATGCTTGGTATAAACAAATGTTTGACGGGCCACTCAATCAGTAGGACAGACAGAACATTGATCTTGCTAGGTTCCTCTCTGTCTACCATATGTGGTTCATACCATAATGTAGTTACCTATCTATGGTGATAGAACAGGCTCAATATCGAAATCCTTTTTAAGTATTTGAGAAGAAGGTAAAGAGCTTTTCCTGAATCTGCTGAGTTTTGATTGCTTTTTAATTCAAAATAATCTTCATGCCAAAGTAACCCATGTTGGGGTGGCCCACCATTGGCCCCTACAAAATTATTAGGGTGCATCATTAAATAGTAATGTGACAGGCCACAGACATCTGCTTGGAAAGGGAGGAAGGCCTCTGAGGAGGTTACGTTTAAGTGAAAATCTTATTGAGAGACTTGGCCTTGTAAAAAGCAGAGGGAAAAGCACATGCAGAGTCTCCTGGAAAAGAAACAAACTCCCTGTAGTGTAGGAGCCAATGACTAAAACACGGAAAAGAAAGAATTTGAGGTAAGAATAGGAAAGTCAGGAATACATCATGAAACAGGAACAGTGGAGCAGGGTAAGGCATTTCGACTGTATTATAAATGTAGGCAAATCCATGGAAGGCTTTTGAGAGAGTAGTGGCACCATCTGGATTAAGTTTACAAAGGATCCCTGTGGTACAGGAGGCAGGGCACAAGTAGACTGACCTGAAAGGAGTGTAGTCCCCCAGAAGAGAGATGATGGAGGCTTGCCACCAGAGTGATAGCAGGGGAAAGGGGGAGAATAGATGGTTTCAGGGTGTACTGTGAGGTGAACATCACAGAAGTTGGGGATGAATGGAATATTTGGAGTGAGAGAGAATGAGGTATCATGATTGACTTCCAGGCTTCCTGCTGCAACGCTTAATACTTAGAAAGGCATAAAAGAAGAGAAACTGATTTTTGTAAAGGGATAATAGGCAGATAATCAAAAGTTCTGCTTTAGATGCGGAAAGTTTGTGCTGCCTGTGAAATTTATACGGGCAGGTGGTGGTTGTAGGCAATTGGATATATTGAATCTAGAGCTCAGATAAGAGGTTTGAATGATGCATAAATTTACCTCTCAACAGCACATAACTGATACCCTAATACTTAACTTGAAGGCCATTGGAATGGATCGATCACCTTAAAAGAGAAGGTAGAAAGAAAAGAAGGCTTGTGTTCCAGTACCTGGGATTCAACTTTTAGAATTTAGAAAAAGTAGCAGCACATGAGAAAGGCCCAGAAGAGTACAGAGTTGCCAAAGCCATTGCTGCCCTTGGTAGAAGGAATGCAAAATCCCAAGACTTGGGCTCAGATACAGGTCAGATTGTATATTTGTGGTCCAGAGTTGAGGATAGATTGCAGTAGTTAGCTCATATGAAGATTTACTTGAATTTCTCAGTCTTGAGTTACTGTCTTAAACTTGAATTTAAGGATTCCTTTGGTTCCAGCCAATAGAAACCTAACTCAAATTTGCTTAGGGAAAAGAAGATTTATTGAAAGAATACGAAGATATGTCACTCCGTCGAAAGAAAAGAGTTGTCCCTTCCAGTACTTGTTTGGCCACACTTGTCTTTGTGAATTAGAACACACACACAAAGAAGTGTAACTTTCTGAGGTGTTTTTTTTTCTTTTTTTTCATCATAGTTGAGAGGAATATAGAATTTTAGCTTACATGAGGGCCTTATTTTTCATTATTGGAACTAATGAAAATATTTTAGTACATTTGACATACATTTTAAGGGTATTAAAGAAAAATGTCTTGATTTTGTGACCATTTTGGGTTGTCTACTTTTCGGTACAATAAATGTCTGTTTCATTCTTATTTACTCTTGAGATAGTAAAAATAACTGAATCGTTTACTCTTCTGAGCCTTTACATGTGTATTAGCTTGTGTGGTGCTCACATGTACCACATTATCCCTAAAGTCCCTTGGAAGAAAGTGAGGCACAGGAGGTTAAATGACTTACCTACAGTGGCCCAGGTAGTCACACAGCCAGGCATTCTGCTCCAGAACTGTCTCTGCTGTCACTTCATAGCATAATAGATTCACCTCTCAAACCATTGTACAGGCAGTAAGAACCATTTAAATGATGAGAGGCAATTTAGAAATTAACATTTTGGCAGCAGGTCTGAAATCAGCCACAGCAGATTTGTGTTTCTGATGACAGCAACTGAATGACAAATTTTAGGTTGGTTTTAAAGAATTGTGTACTGGTGCCTTGGTTATTTTGATTATAATTTACAGTACTTAGGCTCTTTGACTTAGTAGGTATGGACCTTGTACAAGTTTTTTGGTTTTTTTTTTTTTTAAACCTCTCTGTGCCTCCATGTTCTCATTTATAAAATGAATATAATAGTATTTACCTCATAGGGTTATGAGACCTAAGTGAGTATTTATAAATTGCTAAGTACAGTGCCTGGCACACAGTAACAGCTCCATAAGTGTTTGTTAAATAAATTAAATAACAAGCAAGGGAAAATAGAGCAAAAGTAGCAGGAGGAATGGTAAGCAATAAAAGCACTAATGTGCCCAGGAGGTGACTTGAAAAAGGAAATCACTTCCAGTTGTGAAACTGCCTTCTGCCAGATGGGTAACAAAAAGCCTACTTTTCCCTAGAAAAGTTGTTCCAGGCTCTGTTCTTATACTGGGAATAAGAGGACCCTTCAGGTTTGATAGATGTGGCAGATAAAACAACTTCCCTCAAAAGAGTGAACAGAAGACTCAACCCCATGGGGCGGGGGAGAGGAACAGAGATTGAGAGGATTCTTTTAAACCGTGGAGTGGTGGTGAACTCACATTTTTGCGGCACCTTTTATGTGCCAGGCACAATATAAGGCCAATTTTTTTTTTTAAAGATTTTATTTATTTATTCATGAGAGACAGAGACACAGGCAGAGGGAGAAGCAGGCTCCATGCAGGGAGCATGACTGATCCCTGGTCTCCAGGATCCTGTCCTGGGCCAAAGGTGGCGCTAAACCACCTAGCCACCAGAACTGCCCAATATAAGGCCAATTTAACATGTTACCTAGTGTTTATGACACTGCTACAACTGACTTCTTGGCTGAACATCTTTAGATAGGAACTTTAATTTATGGCTCCAAATGATACCCAAACAAAAAGGGAGAAAACTTAGAGCTTCTGGCACTCAATTTGATACACCCTCTCTATTTTTTTTACCCATCCACATGAAGCTAATCAAGTTAAACTCTTTCTCATATCTAGAAAAGGCCCATTTATTCGACCCAGCAATTAAAACAGTATAACCATTTCTTTCTCTCTCCCCCACTGATTTCTAAGGATAGGGAATCCTTCACAGAGGAGATCAGTAGCTCTTTGGGCTCCCCCAAGGCAGAACTTAGGACCCTTGCTATGATCAGGTAAGCCACTGTCCATCATGGATGACTGGCTTGTTTCTGGGTCGCATTGGTTATTTGGGGACACATCAGAAGCAGAATCAGGTCTCAGTGGGTATTTCTGCCATAAACCCCCTGTTTGTCCAGCCCCCCAACAACACATTAATCTCACTCTGCCACCTTGGCATTGTGGCCTTCTGTTCTTGATGGTCTGCTTCCTGTCACACATAGAAAAAACGTCCACCACTGACCAGTTCCTGCTTAGGTCAAGTATGGAGGATGGGCACTCCACAGATTTCCCTTGAGAAATCTCCTGGATCTCTACTCCTAAAGTCATGTTGTTCCTTCCTGTTCTTTACTTTTATGCGCAGGAACCTGTGGGTTTTTTCCTTTTTCCTTCTGACACCTGACCTTGATTCTAACCTGCTTGTCCAGACAAGATCTTCAAACATATTTCTTTTGCTATAACATTCCAAAGTGTGATAATAATTAGCTAAGAATTCACAAATGCTGCTTTCCTCTAAGAAGTCAACAAACTTTCTTAAAGGGCCAGATGGTAAATATTTTAGGCTTAGCAAACCTAGAGGCAACATTAAGGATATTTTGTAGGTATTTATATAACTACTGAAGTGTACCCCCATTTCAAAATGGGAAAACTGTTCTTTGTTCATAGGCAGTAAAATCCAGGCAGTCTGGGTAGGCTGAAGCGGCCTGATCTAAGAGGATTTAGAATTCTTACTGATAAAAAAAACATGAATGTGAGTTCCATTACAAGTTAAGCTTCAGAAGGATGGGAATCATGCTCTTCTTGTTCGCTGATATTTCCCCGGGCCTTTCACAGTACCTGGAAAAGAGCAAGCACTCAGATATATATGCTATTTGATTTGGATTGAACATGAATAATACAAACAATGAGGCAACCCTAGAAAGTGGCGAGCCTCTTCTGAAATCCCTTTATCCTGTTAAAGAAACATAATTGATATTTGAATAAAAAAGTATTTCAGTGTTAAAATTTTCAGGAATGGGGATGGTAGTAGATGCACGTTAATTTATGCTAAACACTGTAATAATAAACAAGTATTGGTGTGGTGTTTCATGTATGTCAGGCACTGATTTAAGTCTTTTGGTATATTTACATACTAAATATCTAAAAAATGTATTACTATCCTCATTTTATGGATGAGGGAATTGAGGCAAAGAGGCTAAGTAAGTTGCCTGAAGCCACATAACCAGTAAATGACAAAACTGGAATTCAGGCCCTAGCCTCAGAGTCCTTCTCACCATTGAGGTTTTTTGTCTCTAATATAGATTGAAGGGAAGGCATTAGCTATTTTTAATCCTGGCTGCTACTAGAATGAAAAAATGAACTTTATTAAAAAGGTGTTTCTGATGATTTCTCTGGTTCATTTTCCTGGTTTTTTCCATGTTTCTGCCTCAGGTGGTCGAGCACATCATCAAGCAAGCGCATGTCCCAGAGCCAAATAGCTAAAGGGGTCGATTTTGAATCGGATGAGGTAATAAAGTAATATTGTTAAATCTTTATTAATTTTTAGGTGTTTATAAAATTTGAATAAGGACTACTAAGCTAGTTGCTGTAAATAATTTTTTTAAAATACTTTAGTTGATAACTTCCTTTGAACTATACTTAATGTTAAGAGTCAACAAGTAGCATTTGTTGAGTACCTGTAAATGTAAATGCTCAGATATAAAAGGCCTGCCAATTTTTAAAATATATGATATTCACTGAATTCTTGTTTAATTTGCCCTATGAATTTTTGGATCCAGAATAGTTATTCTCAGCTTCTGTCATTTATATTTGGAGGACTGATGGTGATACTCTGGAAATTTTTAATGTTACTTTAATAAAGTATTTATTAAGTCCTCCATATATGCTTTACACATTTCATTAATAAAATGGTACATGGTGGTGCTTCTCATTTACAGAGGTGTTCAGGTGTTGAACACATGGCAGGACGTGTGAAAGAAACTCCAATTTCAGGTGGTTGTCTGGGCCAGAAAACTATCAAATCTCTTCTAAACTGAATGAGCAGGAGTAGGAAGAGGCAGACTCAAGACTAGCCTCTTGGTTTTACTCATTCATTGGTTCAGCTACGTTAAAGCCTGGCCTTTCCCATTTCTCCATGGCAGCGAGTTGAGGGGCCTTTGCTAGTTTTTGATGAATTACTTTAAGGTGTTTCTCTTAACTCTATAACCCCTTTCATTTCTTTATTTTTATTTCTTTATTTTTATTTTTTTTAACTTTTTAAAAAGATTTTATTCATGAGAGACAGAGAGAGAGAGAGAGAGAGGGAGAGAGAGGCAGAGACACAGGCAGAGGGAGAAGCAGGCTCCATGCGGGGAGCCAGACATGGGACTCTATCCGATCCGGGGTCTCTAGGATCATGCCCTGGGCTGAAGGCGGCTCTAAACTTGCTGAGCCACCTGGGCTGCCCTATTTCTATATTTTTTAAAAAAGATTTTATCTATTTATTTGAGAGAGAGAGTGTGTGTGTATAAGCAGTGGGGAGTGGCAGAGGGAGAGAAAGAAGCAGATTCCCCACTGAGCAGGGAGCCCCTGCAGGGCTCTATCTGAGGATCATGAGCTTGTGACCTGAGCTGAAGGCAGACACTTAACCCACTGAGCCGCTCAGGAGCCCCATTTCTTTATTTTTATTTTTAAAGTTTTTAAAATTGTGGTACAAACCTTGCTATCTTAAACATTTTTCATTGTGCAATGCACTAGAGTTAAATATATTCACTTTTGTGCAATAGATCTCCAGAATTTTTTCATCTTCCAGAATTAAAAATCTTCACCATTGAACAACTCTTCATTTTTCCCTTTCCTCCCAGCCCCTGGTAGCCACCATTCTACTTTTTGTTTCTATGAATTGGACTGCTTTAGATACCTGCCATAAGTGGAGTCCCAGTATTTATCTTTTTGTGACTGGCTTATGTTACTTAGCATAATGTCTTCAATGTTCATCCCTGCTTGTAGCATATGACTCAGACCTTTCATTTGGAGCTTCACCTGTTGCTGTCATGTTCCTGTATCCCAGCTGCGTTTTGAGCCAGCTTTAGGAGAAGACCCACCAGCAGTTCAGGCTACAGAGAAAAATGGCAGCATGAGCTCCGTCTACCTGTGAAATACTACCATGTTGCCTCTGGGAGGAAAGCAAGTGGCTGTGTACTCATTGTTCATTCTAAAGCATCTAGACAGACATGTTAATATGTTACAGTTAGAGATTTGTATATAGTTCATGTTAACTACAAGGAAAAACTATTAGCAAATTATTATGCCAAAGTTTGGATTTATCTCTGATTTATTAATAAGTTCTGCCTTTGTTAATAGCAGAAAATGAATTACTAAATGTGATTTGTATTTTTTAAGGACTCCATTTCTCACTAGAGATAGCTAACTTAGCTAACGTTTGAATGTGTTGATTCCATCAACAAAGCCTAACACCAAATAATTATCCCTTTTTATTAGTATCTTAAACATAAATCAAAAATTTACAAGCAAATTTGCTTTCTTCTAAATGTTTAGCTAGAGAATACATAAGAATCATTTTATCCTTATTAAATGTTATAATTTGGGCTTATCTGAAGTTTGTTGGTTTTCCTTCTCTTTAACTAAATTGTTAGTACTGGTATTTGATATTCCTGTCTGCTCTTAATATGCATATAATCTTCAGCCTCATTCCAGCACGGGAACTTTCATACTACTTCTTTTTCCACAAAGATATTTGAAAGATTGATTTGTTAGGTGGTTTTTTGCAGCAGTCCGAGAGTAGCTGTCTACTGCTAGCATGAAATGGGTAATGGGAAATAAAAATTACAGCTATTTCTGAGTTAGGTCATGTGATTTCATTATTTAAGGGGGTGAGTTTCCAGAACATTAGGTAACACCAGTAATAAAATGTAACTGGAAAAAAACCTATTCAAAAAGCAGAGGGACATCTGGTTGGCTAAGTGGTTGAGCATCTGCCTTTGGCTCAGTGATCCCGAGGTCCTAGGGTGGAGTCCTGCATCAGGCTCCACACAGGGAGCCTGCTTCTCCCTCTGTCTGTATCTCTGCCTCTTTCTGTGTCTCTCATGAATAAATAAATGAAATCTTTAAAAAAACACACACACAAAAAAAAAAAAAAAACAAAAAGCAAACAGAAATGACTTAAAGAATATTAATTTTCCTGGTTTAGCCACACCTTATTTGCCTTTATTAAAGTTAATAATTAAGAGAAATGTATATGGTATATATTGTAGGGCTACACACACACACACACACAGATATATATATCTCACAGTTATTTTCAGTGCTTGCTAAGAATTTTATTGACTTATTTAACAGGGAAATAGCTACCAGAGAAGAGAGGAAAAGATAAATGAACAAACTATTCATATTTATAACGGAAATAGAAAAATGAATGTCTGCCTCATGTGAAAGGAGGAAATGGCTTTTACTGGTATTATTGTTTACCCATGTCTGTCTTGTCTGAGTGAAGCGTGGAACAATCACTCACATAAATTTGTATGTGATTTCAGGATGACGATGATGATCCTTTTATGAACATTAATTCTTTAAGAAGAAACAGAAGATAATATATTTAACGGCACTTTGAAGTTTTCAAGATTCAGGAAAAATTAAAACATGCAAGCTAAGAGTTTACAGTTGAAGATTGTTTTTGCTGTTACCTAAAGAATTTGAAAGAGACTTATTTAACAGGGAAATGTGTAAGAATTTATGTTTTTGAGTAGCATTTCCTGTACATGACTCTTAATTGAGAACCTTCCCAGCTCAAGGACATAACAGAACAACATTGGTTCTCTTTATTTTTTATTTTAGTTGTTAACATTACCTGGGGCGCTCTATAAAATCAGAGTGTTATTTTCTTCACAGATATTAGTATACATCTTACTGAAAGAGGGCTTTGCTTCAATACCATTCATCAGAGTAAGGTTTGAAAGAAATCTATCACTCTGTGTTTCTGCTTCATGAACAAAGACTATGTGAATATTTTATTGTAGTTACATTTAGCTGAAATTGAGAGAAAGAGCTTATAAAATGTAACCCCTTTATAATTTTAGTAATTTCTAGATTCTGGGTTTCCAGAAGGTAAAACACATCTATGTGAAACTGTGCCTAAGCTCACTGTTTGTTATTATGTATTATTCTTTTTCTAAAGCTTGTGATAGTGTCAGCCACCTGAGATTTTGAATGTTAGGGGTACCTTATGCTTTGACTAATGAGATGTATTTGTATTAAAAAATAGAACAATCTCAGAATTATTAAGTTTTTTATTTCAAAAGATTGCATTCCCATTGGGTTCCCATTAGTTATTTTCTTCATTCGTCATGGTTCTTTGTCTTTTTCCAGAGCGCTCTCATCTATTTCTACAAGAAAAAGTGTTAAAACAACAACAACTTACTCTTAACTGTATTTTTCTTGGAAAATATTGAAGAGCTTTTTTAGGTAGAGTGGTCAGTTGAGCACCATGATAATATTAGATTAAATTATCGAAATATAACTTCTGTGGACTATGAATGCCAAAACTTCATAATAATAATATTATATCCTAACATCGGATATGGGCAGTTCCAGAAATCTTAGTGAGGCAGCCTTGTTAAGTTTGTATTTTCTCCTATCCAAGTACTAACCAGGCCTGACCCTGCTGAGCTTCCACAATCAGGCACATTCAAGGGGTTATGGCCATGGGCAAGCTTATGTTTCCTTACTCGTGTTCAGGGGGGACATAGCAATTTGGCCTCTTCACATTTAAGTTCAGTAATTCCATCTCCATCTGAAGACTGATACAACACCTCCTGGAGTATTCCTTCTTTTCATCTCTGAGGTAGCTGTATCTGAAGACTCCTTAGGAAAGTCACGGATCTTGGCGGTATAACAGCCTAACATTTCTTCATTTGTAGAATTAAACACTTGACTGAGCAATATTCATGATTACTGACATGGCCACATCTGGACTATGTCAGATTATAAAAGAACATTTGCCTAGTGGCTCTCTCCATATTGTAGCCCTTTGAAATTGTCTTGATCAAGATCTGAGATATTCTATGAGATAAATTGGGATAAAACATGTTATATTTTTTAAAAAAATATTTTTTGTACCTAACTGGAATATAAATACTGGTTATCAGCATTAAATCAGTGAAGGCGTTGTCCTGTGAAATAGTCTCAGGTACATATCCCCACCTCTGTAATCTTCCCAGCAGAAAAGAAGCCAGGTATGAGAGTTGCTTTCCATGTAGAATGAAAGCTGGTTTGGTGGTGGTATCTGGGCAGTGTAGCACTACCCCTGCACAGGGCAGTCAGTGTCTGCTGATGGCTCTTTCTCACCTGCCACAGAGATGTGCTTGGTTGAAGGTCGTAGTGAAGGAGGCAGTCACAAAAGCATGCTGACAAGTTCTTAAGGAAAAAGAGTAAGACTTTTTCTCTAAAAATTGCACCACAGTATGAGAAAGGTAATAAATGTCATGCAGTAAGCTCCTAGGAAAAATGATTCTATGGCAGTTAGAGAAGTGAAATTCCTAGCTAATCCAAGTCATTTTGTTAATAGTGCCATGTCCCTTCAATAAGGTAAATAAAACATGAAAGAAAATCCTTTCTGATACAGTGTTGTTACATAGTTAAATATGCCATCTAGCCTTGATGTTCTGTATTGATGCCATAAAACCTGGAGTTTTCTGGGTTTTCAGACGTGTTAATACAGGTGTGTATAGGTGATTCCAGATGATTGCAGAGCACCTGCAGTTAAGTTGCTCTTAGAGGCTGAGAGAGCAGTGATGCAAACCTTTGGAGGGAAAAATCCTTCCATCATTTACCAAAGAAAATAACTCTTTCTGATGTCTTGTTCCTATCATAAAAATATAGCAGTGCATTTACAAGGTTAAGAATGCATTATAGTTTTAGGAAATTCTAGAAGTATGACTGGTGCTTAGAAATTTCAACTATTTAGGCAAATGACTTAATTCAAGTATAAAGAAACAGTCGTCCCCCCCCCCAACTTTTAAAATTACAAAGTACAAAACCAGAAAACTCCTGTGGTTTAATAAATGATTGTAAGGTGAATGCTCATGGCATCTCTATGCAGGTTAAGGAGTAGAAAGAATTATATCACTAGTTCCCCAGAAGCCCACTGAGTTGTTCGTCCCTCTCATCTAGCTAATCAGTCTGACTTCTGTCATTGAGAAGCTCCTATTTTTGCCACAAGGTGGTGCTTCCACCATTAGATGGTGAATAGGAAGATGCAACAGCAAATCTGAAATGAAGAAGTTAGAGTTTTACAATAAATTTGGGACCTATGCAACAATACTAAGCCTATGCAGTAATACCAAAATTAGCCTTCTAATCTTAGATGTAAATTGCTTTACATACTTCACCAGGCTTCGCCTGTTACCAAGGAGATTGCCAGTTGGATAAATTTTACAACTAATGGTTCAAGAAGAAACTTGTTTTAATAAAGAGAAAAGCCCTTTAGTAGAAAAATCAAAAGTCTCCCGTTGTAAAATTTGTCTTTTGAAATGTACCCTATTTAAAATAACTTTGCCCCAATGTAATTTGGTTTTTCTATCATACATTTAATTCATGGTATTCTGTGGCTTTTTAAAACTTGTAAAAGTTTTATAGAATAAAGGTTTGTGTCTTAAGTCCAAAGAGCTTCCATATTCTTGAATAAAAAATATCTTCATTTTGCCATTTGCTTATCCCTTTTAAGACTTATTTTACCTTAGGGATCCCTGGGTGGCGCAGCAGTTTGGCGCCTGCCTTTGGCCCAGGGTGCGATCCTGGAGACCCGGAATCGAATCCCACGTCGGGCTCCCGGTGCATGGAGCCTGCTTCTCCCTCTGCCTGTGTCTCTGCCTCTCTCTCTCTCTGTGACTATCATAAATAAATTAAAAAAAAAGACTTATTTTACCTTAATGTTTATTAGCTAGATCTGATTATACTGGAATTTTAGTTTGATCTCTATAAAGCCAGTTCACACAGCTTGCTATCGCCATGCACATTTGTATATCTTTACCATGATTGATCACCAGATCTGATTTTAGCTGTTTTTAAATTATAAAGGCAATGTATATTTATTCTTCAAAATTTAAACATTGATATATATATATCAATATATACATATTGTGTGTGTCTGTTTCCCTATAATCCTCTCCCCAGACTTAAATCCCAACAATTAGGTGCCTGGGTCGGTGGTCGCGCGTCCTCGTGGGGAGGGTGCCGGGCTTGGTGGCCGGGAGCTGCTCCCAGGTCGGGCGAGGCGGGGGAGGCGGGGGCGGCGGGGACTAACCCTACCCCTTGCCCGCAGCCGCGCCGCCCCGCCCTCTGCGCCCCCGCCCGCGCCCGCGCCGCCCTCGGCGGCCCCTGCCGCCCCGTCGGGCCAGCCGGCCTGATGGCGCAGGTGGCGGCCATCCACCGCCATCCACCGTCCATCCACCCGGGTCGCGGCGGGCTCGGCTGTGGGGCACGTCGTGGGCAGCGCCTTGACCGGAGCCTTCAGCGGGGGCAGCTCGGAGCCCGCCCAGCCCGCCGCTCAGCAGGCCCCCACCCGCACCCGCACCCCAGCCCCTGCAGATGGGGCCCTGCGCCTACGAGATCTGGCAGTTCCTGGACTGCTCCACCACTCAGTGACCTGTCCCTGTGTGAGGGCTTCAGCGAGGCCCTGAACCACGGTCTGAGCTCCCTGCCCTGAAGAGACAGGTACGGACTGGTGCAGATCCCTGAGCCAACCCTGCACCCACCTTCACGCCTTCACCGACAGCCAGACCATGACCTCAGATTGTACCCATGTAGCTGGGATTGGGAGTGAGGAGGGGGGTTCCTCACCCCACAGATGACCCGAGACGCAAATGTGCAATTAAAAGAGTTTATTTTAGACCATTAAAAAAAAAAAAAATCCCAACAATTAGGTACATACTTCTCCAATTAACTTTAGCATGATCACTGACAAAAATTATTGAATTAGAACCCCAAATCATATAATTAAATAATAGTTCCTGTATCAAAATGTATTTTCAGCTTGGACTTGACATCCTCATTTTTCCACATCTGTCTCTTCATGTACCATTTGTACAACATTTAAGTATAGAGGCTGTGTAGATGTTTCAATGTCTGATAAGGCTAATCATCCCTCCTAGCTTATCTGATTTGCCTTTCACATTTAACGCTACAGTTCAGCGGGGAATTAATGTTTATGTGTGATATGTGGTGTAGGGATCATGTTTGGTTCTGTTCCATATGGAGATGCACTTGCCCCCAGCACCATTCGTTGAAATGACTGCCCTTTGTCTTGCTCTGCAGAACTGTTTAGTCATTCATTAAAGACCATATTCATATATACAGATCTGTTTCTGAACTCTATTCTGTTCCATTGATCTATTTGGAATTAATTACTATAGTTTTTAGATGAGCCTTTTATATATATTGCTTGTGACCTAACATGAGGTTTTAACAAAAATAACTGCCTAGTTTCAGGCTGGCTATAATTCTCAACTGTTGCCCATTGCAGTTGATTTAA